CTAAGCATAACAACCCGTTTTCTTTGATCAGTGCCTCTCTCTTCTCCAAGGCAAGTGTTTCTTAGCTGAAAATCGTCCGGTTTAAACCAAAATAAAATACCTAAGTGCGTCGCCGCCCTACAAAGGGTAAATGGAGACTAGATACTGTAGATTGATAGATACAATACAGTATTTATTTTGTAAAGCTGTTATACAAATTTACATGGATTCATTGTGTATATACTCTACAGGTATATAAGACACAATGTGCCGGTATACAATGTACATAGAAAGTACAGGTATACAATGCACCTAGACAGTGCAAGCATATGATATGCCTAGACAGTGTAGGTATGCAATGTATTTAGACAATGTAGGTTATTCACTGTACCTAGACCGTGCAGGTATACATACAATGGTGAACAATAAGCCGATTCAACCAAAGACAGACAATAAAACTTACAGATGCTTCTTTCCAAAATAATTATAATATTATCTCTTTGTTTTTGTCACTGTCTTTACTTGTCTTCTCGAGTGTCAACACCCTGACAATGTCATGAGACGAGAGCTGTCATGACCTCTCACCCCTACTTTCCTCACCCTACAAGACAGCTCACTTAACCCCCACCCTCCATCCCCGTCACAGTGAAATGTGAATGCTATTGAGATTTTAAACTTTCAACTTTTCACTACTTAATGTATTGAAAGTGTGCAGATCGTAACCCAAAACTTTACTTGTTGATTTTATCTTCTTTTTTTATGGTGATTTATACAATTTCATTTAAATTTCAGCATTTTAGAGTGTGAGCTAATTCAAGACCAACACTGGCGCAGGTACAGATATATTCTTGAGCGGTAAGGGGCGAAGAGGATAAAGTATTTTACGTAAGTAATAATTATGATCTGAGCAATTTACAGTATGTTGTATGCCTGTATTTCCAATATACATGATAAATTAATGTAAAGGTGTTTGACACTTTCAATGAGTATCTATCTAACAACAGACCTATAGTGTTGTCACTTTTAGCAATACGTTTCCAAAATGTAATATTTGACAGTTCTTGTCCGCCTAAACCAACTATTTTCGATTAGTTTTCTATTAAAAACAAACTTTCTTTCCTCAAGAAAACCATAAATCAAAGTGAAGGAATTGTAATTTTCGTGTTTTGTTTTTCCTGTAGATATTCATCCTACAATTGCTGTTATAATGTTATGACTGCGCTTCAACAATGAAGGTCTTTAAGCGCGTATCAAGGGTATTAATTGCACTATTCTAGCAGCATAAAACTCTCTGTTTCTACTTACCAATAATGGAGATGTCTAAACACGTTCATCCGCCGCCATAATTGCGCTTCAAGTGTTGATATACAAACGCTTACCAGCGACCGAATCTAAATACAAGATACTGTAGTTCATCATCGTTAGGTTAGGAGTGGTTCTTGTAGCAATCGCTGAAGTGTTGATATAGAAAGACAGCCAGCATTATCATCCAAGGTCGTCTGAGGAATTCAAGTTTCCTTTATTTTTCTCTATGTAATTTTTCAACAAATTTACTTGTCTAAAAGCAAAGATTTGAAGCTCTATGTCATGGAAGCTTACAGGTATGCTGGCCATACTTGTGTACCCTCCTGGTGTGTACAATTATCAAGCAATCAAAAAAATTCCGATAGACAAACGCCACATACGGTATATGAGAAAAGTAGTTTTATATTATATGAATAATATTTCCTCTTAATTTTTCCTACAGATCAGTCGTTCAAAGGTATACATTGTATATCAATATTTATTAATGACTCGCCCACATAGCCATTCCTCCAGGTGACATCGGAGGCCATTCTTGCATTTGTTGTGACAGGTGTTGACTCCAAAAGGCAACTCCATAAGATTTTCTATTGAGTGCCTAATTTGGATGCAATTCTAAGGACTAATTCATTCAGGTCGTCATCGAACACCTAACTCATTCATGGAAGACCTTCTTGACTCCCTATAAGTCATGCGCGTTCTTGCAGTTGACTTGGTATTTGGTGTGTCCAGATGGTGATGATCTAACAGCTGGACCCTACTTCTACAGCTGGTCCGAGAGTTGAAAGATAGTGTTGTAACATAAAACGATTGTGTTAGCACCTGACGACGTTTCACTATTGTTCCAAAATCTGTTTTCTATTCAATCTCTTCAAACGTAGGGTTGCTTAACAGCCAGCCACTATCCACTGCACATTAATATTCAGCGTCTTCTACGAGCTGCCAAACACGCTGCAGAATATCTTTTTAAGTCCACCTATGAATAACAGCTGTTTTGGTTATATTGAAGTTTAACACGTTTATGCTCTATCGATCAGTTTTGTTAGCTTGTTATTTTTTGGGTCTTAGATGTGCCATGCTATAGTGGTTATAAGAACATAAGAATGGAGGAAACTGCAGCTGGCCTATTGGCCCATACTGGGCAGTCCCATTTACACCCAACCCCTATTGCTCATATATCCATCCAACCTATGTTTGAAGCTATCCAGTGATGATGTTAGGTAACTTGTTCCACGCGTCACTCCTCTATTTCCAAACCAATGTTTATCTATCTCGCGCCTAAATCTAAATTTGTCTAATTTAAAACCATTGTTACGAGTTCGCTCCCGTTTTCAATTGAAGGAAGCTGCCCAGCAACAACCAGAGGAGCTCAACGGACGCGTATATGATTTTTCGATTATTTTACATTATTTATATTATTTTGGATTTATTGAAGATTAAGCACCTACATTTATTTCCCCTGAAGATTAACCACTCTAACGCTACGTGGGGGAGGGGAGGGGGAGTAGGTTAGATTAGGTTTGATTACGGTAGGTCAGGTTAAATTAGATAGGTGTTAGGATGGTTAATCTTCAGATGAACTAATATTAAAGTGATCCAGTTTGGTTTTTTTATAAAGTAGAGTCATTACAACTATCATGACTAAACTGGTGACGTCAATCAAAGTAAGAGGGAAAGAAGGAATGTGGGTAAGAGGGAAGGAAGGGGGTTAAGAGGGAAGGAAGGGGGGTAAGAGGGAAGGGAGGAGGGTGAGAAGGAAGGAAGGAAGGAGGGTGATAAGGAAGGAAGGAAGGAAGGAGAGTGAGAAGGAAGGAATGGTTAACAACAGCAAAGTATCAGGCTTACACACCCTCCACCACACACTAGGGTTTCCTTCCCGGGATCCCGGGCTTAAGTGGTTATGTTTTTTTCCCGGGAATTTGGTTCAAATCCCGGGATTCTTATTGTTATTCCTTATCTCTGATTTGCCCTATGTAAAATACAAAAATGCATGAAAGAGAGAAAGAGAGGGGGGGGGGCTAGAGCGAGTCTGACAGAACTGACACATACCGTTCCTGTACACTTCTGGCCTTCACCTCGTCTTGCTTGGCCTTAGCTGCGTTTATCTCCCTGCAGAGTGCAGAGGTGTGTTGACTGCCGAGTAATTCGCAGGTCATTCAAGTGTTCTCTTTAAGTTTTTTGTAGAGTAGGGCTTCCAAATGGCATAGAATAATTCTTTTTTATAATGGCTAACTTTGAATGTCATTCCAAATATCATTGAGTTTCTTTTTTGGCTAACAGAATGAGATTGACTGTTTGTGCTTCTTGAAGAGTTATTTCATGAACAACTTTTGATGTGTGCGTGACTGTGTGGCTTGTGTGCACAAATGATTTTATGCTATTATTTTTTCACAGGTCACTCAAGTGTTCGCTTTAGGTTTTTGTAGAATGTGGCTTCCAAATGGCATTAAATATAGAATTCTTATTTTTTATAATAGCTAACTTTGAATGCCATTCCAAATGTCTGTGAGTTTCTTTTATGGCTAACGGAATGAGATTAATTAAAATTTTGTTTGTTTAATCATATTATGTACCTATTTTTACACCAGTATGCAAGTTAATAAAGAGAACTTTCCTTCAGTGTAATATAATTTATCAAATCAATTGCCTATCAAATAATCTACAGATACTACACTAATGAAGTATAAGGTTAGCATATAGCATTAGTTAGTACAAATATCACCTGATGCGGGAAATCCCGGGATCCCGGGAAATATCCTGGTTTTCCCAGAATCCCGGGATGCTAAGAAACCCCCAAACAGGAAACCCTACCATACACACACACACACAGCCTTTCCCTTCCCACGTCATCAAAATGCTTAAAAATCACACTGGAACGATTATTTTTTATCAATAAAGAAAAATTTACGTCAGCTGGTAAGATACTCAAGAAATGGTGTAAGTGTTGAGTTATGAAAATCACACATGCCCCTTCCTACCACATTTACTATCATACTTACGACCACAACTTCTAGAATATCTGCTACCACACCTACTACCACAATTATTACAAGCCTAACGACCAACGTATCTACCTCAACGCCGCCACCACCACTGAAGTAAATGTTCCTGTGCGCTGTGTCAATACCTTTAAAGACGATTTTGTTTCATAATATTTTTAATGGTTTGTTCTTTTTACTGTAATTGTGTGTTAGGAAGAACATGAGAAGACAGACTAAAATGAATGAATGAAATTGAAAGTTGCGGTACCTAGAATAATGTGAAACCTGGGGAGGACGGGTAAAGACGGCCTGAAAATGTTTTGGTTGGAGGGATGTGGTCACCAACCCTCATACATGTGAAGATTGCGCCTTAGATGATTAATTGTTTAACATCATGCCGCCGTTAACGTATGGTGCTCTTACTCTGTCCTGATACTTCGCACTTCCGTCACTTGAGATTCTTACCTGTAATCCCCCCCCACCCCGACAGTGCCCTACTCCTCGCCGCCAACATAGCTTCCTGCGTGTCCCATAGTTACTCCTGGGACCTCCAAATTGTAACCGCCTTTTGATGCTCTACCAGCTGAGCTATGAGGTAATATAATATATTTAGGGTGTTTTATGAGGCAAGTGGTACCAGCATGATGAATCCTGGAAGGGGTGGGGTGGGGGGGTGGGGGCGGGGAGGTCTCCAGTGTGCCCGGATCAGTTCTCTTTATCTCTGAGGGAATCCCGCCTGGGAACATGATGCGCCTGGTGGTGTGCGCAGAACCATCCCTGGCAGGTGTTGGGGTTATCATAAACCCTCGACACTAACAGACTCCAGCTACTACAGGTAAGAGGTTCTGAGCTGGTGATTCGGATGTATATAGATAAATAGGGTGGTGGACGAGTGGAACAAGTTTAGCAACTTTGTAGTAAGTGCTGAAACGCTGGAAAGTTGTAAAAGGAGGCTGGATAGATTCATGGATGATAGTGAGTGGTTGTAACTCTCGACAGGAGCTGCCATGCACAGGCCAACCGGCCTATTGCAGACTCCTTATTTTCTTATGTTCTTATATTCGGTAACATTGTCATTGAAGTTTACATAGATTCAGTATGTATATAGACATTGCAGGTATGCATCATACACGGACAGTAATACAATTCAAAATGGATCCTTCCTATCACAACAGCTTCCCCAGACCTCAACAAAATTAAATTTAAGAGATTCAAATTTGTTACCTTTTGTTCTTTATTTAGGAAAAATGCGTTTATCGATCCCAATATTAACGGTAATCGTTGGAAATGTAAACAAAAATACTATATTAATCCGAAAATATTGATGATACCACGTGACACGGCATTCATCACGCACCGCTAGGCTCTCCGTAGGTCACTCATTTAGTGCGCAAGTGTAGGAAAAAAATCGGGCACACAGCCAGGCGTCACCTATACGAGGGCTGCTGGACACAAACACTCACTGATGGCGCTGACCTTGGTTGATTTCCCGACTGTTTATCCTTGCTTGTATCCCTGAACAGTCTAGGTACAGTACGTTGTTTGTATACAGTACCTACACTGTTCATGTCCACTTTATATTATGCGTTCTCTATATACATGCTGAATCAATTGTAAACTTGTATGGAGATTTAACTGAGTACTGTAGTATGTATGTATGTATGTATGTATGTGCAGCATTTCCACAGCCTTGAAACGTCTGTATCTACCCAAATTGTGAAAATAAGAAAATGCTTAAAATATGGTAGATTATTTACTGAAATATGTTTTAATCGGATGTATTAGTGAAATCTTATAATCCGAGAAAGTTTACTGCCTGCAATGAACTTTTCTAGTCTGCACAGTTCTAATTATAATCCAAAATTGCACTTCTTAAACCTGACTACTTGTACTGTACAGTATATGCACCCAAGTAGAACCAAAGGTCGATTCGCCTTTCTAAATAGGCTTCATTTCACGAGCTTAATTTTGTATGCCTTGTATATGTCCAAAATCAGTTTTACCCCTCTCTCTCCCAGCAGCAATTACCTCTGGTCTGTCTCCCAAGGTTATATTTCATTCTCGTTTATTTCTCAACAGCCAGGATGATGTTGCTGTGTTTGCTGTTCCTCGCCTGCGGAGTCTTCGCTGCTGGTAAGACGTTTGTTAGGTGATGGCAGTGTGTAGTGAGTTAGGTGACGGTAGTGTAGTGTATGTATAGTGAGTCAGGTGACGGTAGTGTTGTGTATGTATAGTGAGATAGGTGACGGTAGTGTACTTTATAGTGAATTAGGTGACGATAGTGTACTTTATAGTGAATTAGGTGACGGTCTCGGTAGTGTAATGTACAGTATAGTGAGTTAGGTGACGGTAGTGTAGTGTATAGTGAGTTAGGTGACGGTGTGTACTGTATAGTGAGTTAGGTGACGGTAGCGTATAGTGAGTTAGGTGACGGTAGTGTATAGTGAGTTAGGTGACGGTAGTGTATAGTGAGATAGGTGACGGTAGTGTATAGTGAGTTAGGTGACGGTAGTGTATAGTGAGTTAGGTGACGGTAGTGTATAGTTAGGTGACGGTAGTGTATAGTGAGTTAGGTGACGGTAGTGTATAGTGAGTTAGGTGACGGTAGTGTATAGTGAGTTAGGTGACGGTAGTGTATAGTGAGTTAGGTGACGGCGTAACCTGAAGCCTCTCTCCCCGGCATCTACAGTTGTGGTGGACCCTAAGGACTGCACCGCCTTCCCCTGTATGATATTCAGTGATGACTTCGATTATTTGGACCACGACGCCTGGGAGCATGAGATTACCATGTCCGGTGGCGGGGTGAGTTACCGTGAGTGACTGATGAGCGATGCGTAAGTTACCGTGAGTGAAAGATGGGTGAGTTCCGTGAATGACTGATAAGTGATGGGTGAGTTTTCGTGAGTAACTGATGAGTGATGGGGAGTTACCGTGAGTGAGTGATGAGTAATGAGTGAGTTACCGTGAGTGACTGATGAGCGGTGCGTAAGTTACCGTGAGAGAAAGATGAGCGAGTTTTCGTGAATGACTGATGAGTGAGTTTCCGTGAGTGACTGATGAGTGATGGGGAGTTACCATGAGTGACTGATGAGTAATGAGTGAGTTACCGTGAGTAACTGATGAGGTACCGCGAATGACTGATGAGGTGAGTTACCGTAAGTGACTGATGAGTGATGGGGTGAGTTTCCGTGATGTGTTTGATGATGTGGTGTGTGAGTGACTGATGAGTGGTGGGGTGAGTTACCGTGAGTGACTGATGAGTAATGGCGTGAGTTACCGTGAGTGACTGATGAGTGGTGGGATAAGTTTCCGTGAGTGATTGATGAGTGATGGGTTGAGTAACATTGAGTGACTGATGAACGACACACTAATGGTGGTAGGGTGAGTGACACTGATGGCGGTGGTGAGGTAAGTTACCATAATGCAATGATAAGTGACGAACTCACAAGGAACCCCTCTCTCTCTACAGAATTGGGAGTTCCAGGTTTACGTGAATAACAGGAGCGTGAGTTACACCAGAGATTCAACATTGTTCATTAAGCCGGTGAGTGTCTCTGTCTCTCTTTCTTCCTTTTTTCTTTAATTTATATTTGTTTTCCTTCCAAACTCCCCCTGGCCTCTCAACATTCCCCCTGACCTCATAACATTCTTCTTCTTGACCTCTCAACATTCCCCCGGACCTCACAGCATTCCTCTTGATATCTAAGCATTCTCCCTGGCCTCTCTCTGCAGGGTCTCACATCCGAGTGGAAATCTGAAGAGTTCCTAACTAGTGGTGACCTCAATCTGTGGGGAATGAACGGACGGGGAGACGTGTGCACCGGCAACTCCTACTACGGGTGTAAACGGGTCGGCACCGCCACTAACATCGTCAACCCCGTCACAAGCGCCAGGCTGAGGACCTTGTCTGACTTTGCCTTCAGGTATAATAGGGAGGGAAGGATAGGGGAAGAGAGAAATTAGGGAGGGAAAGGACATGGGAAGGGAGGGGGGAATAGGGAGATAAGAGAATAGGTAGGTAAAGCAGGGGCAGATCCAGGGGTAGGCTCCTGGGGGTCCGGAGCCCCCTTTTCATCAGAAAGTTCCAATACTATTTCTTTAATGTAGTATTGTACTCAAGATATTTTTATGTAGTAAAAAGTAATTACTATTGACCTCAGAATATCCCCTCATATCAAATGGACATGACTTCAAAATGGCCTCAAAAGCCCATGATATTGGTCAGATTTCAAGGGATTTTTTCGGGGGGTGGGGTGGGACTTACAGCGCCCACCATAAACTCTCCCCCAGCTGGGTGGGCTCGCTGTGCTCGCCATGTTCCTTCACCCTAACTTCTTGGACCCCGTTTTGATATTCCTGGATCCGCCCCTGTAAAGGAAAGGGGGGAAGGGGAAGAGAATAAGGGGGGAATAAAGAAGGAGGGTAAAAGGAAGGGTGAGATATAATATAAAGAATAGATGGAGATAATATGGAGAAGGGAAGGGAAGAGGAAGAATATAGAGGGATGGGGAGGGATGGTAGTACAGTACGGTAATTACTTCCTTTGATAAGGTGGTCAGGGGCTGTTTGCATCTTTACCTGTGTTTTTGTTCTTTTAAATGACCTTATCGTGAAGAACATGTAAATTTTTGGATGTAGTTTTTTTTATAGGTTCAACCAAATCATAATAATTTAATTGTGAAAAGGATAGAAGCATTTACAAGACTCTCAGGATCACGTGAAAATTCGACCCCCCCCACCCCCCCGTTTATTTCACCTTATCAACCATTCTAATTCTAACCTAAGCTAATCTAATGCTAATCCAACCAAATCTACCATAACCTCATCTAATCCATCACAATCTAAACCTAACCTAACCCCCAGATAGCATTAAGGTGTTTTAATCATCCAGTGAAATAAACAGGAGGGGCTAATCTTCATGTGATCCCTGAATAAGTACTTCCTTTTCCAGGTACGGCTGCATCGAGATTCGAGCCAAGATGCCTAGCGGGGACTGGTTGTGGCCAGGTGAGTTACAGAGGAGAGGGGAGTGGTCAGGTCATTTATGGAGTTCCCATATATAGAACAATACTGTACAAGTAGCTAATAACAATAAAACAGTAGTAGTGAATATAAACAGTAAAATTATGATAACAACAATAACAATTGGTATAGAGTACTAATAAAAATAAACTGAATTACCCGCCTGTATTGTAAAACTACACAGTATTACTGAAGGAGAGGATTAATTTTTTGATTCTGGTATAAATGGCCCAAGATTGTTTAAGTGGAGGACTGTGGTCACCAACCCTCAGATATGAGAACGGTACTCTGATTTTTGCAAAGAAAATTATATTTTAAAATCTAGCTACTGTATTGGTATTTTCTGTCTAACTGTCTAATCTCATTCCAGTTGATTGGTTGTATGTACAATTTTATCTCATTTTATTTCTTAATTTATCATTTCACCAGTTATCAGCTTACTAGCCATTCTTTGTTACTTTATGAACTTTATTGTCCCTCCTGAATTTCAAGCTCAGTATTATATTTATATACCCTGTAATTGAAAAACTGGTTTGGAATGTGATGGACAAGTGGATACAGCACTCATTTCATATTCCATGGGTTGGTTGTTTGATCCCGGACGTTCCCACTTCACCCAGCTGTAAAAGGGTACCTATTACCTAAGTTTACAATTTGGGGAAGTGAATGTGGCCGAGTGCAGTACCAGCCATGCTGCCACCTTGTGTACTGAAGGCTTAGGACAGTGTACCTGTATACAGTGTGCTGTACCCACTGTCCCCATTGGGCAGTCATACTTTCACTTTCATTTCTTGATTATAAATTTTCTTTGTATTCTTATTTATTATTTGCTTACAGCTATGTGGTTGTTGCCTAAAAACTGGCCCTATGGTCCATGGCCAGCCAGTGGTGAGATTGATATTGTCGAGTCTCACGGTGAGTAAAGTACGGTACTTCTTGTGACCCAACTAATAGGGTAAATTGTTGTACAGTACTATAGATGAACAACCCTGGCTTATTTCATCTGATGATTGATCCTTTAGAAGGCAGGAGTTTCTCTCAGCTGAATAAAATCGTTTGGCATTAATGAGAATAAAATAAAGTACCTAAGTGTGGGGGCTGCCCTCTAAAGGTTAAACACCCAAATGTTAACCTAACCTAAAGTAATCAAGTCTAGCTTAACCAAATATAATAAAGCCTTGCCTAACCTAACTTGATCAAACCTTAGTTTATTTCACCTAACCTAAAATAATTAACACTAAATTAATGTAACATAATCTAGCTTAGCCTAACCTACCTGACCTAACCCCAGCTTATATCACCTGATGATTAAACACCCTAACTTAACCTATTCTAGCATAACCTAACATCGTAACTTAATGTAGGTACAGTCTAACCTTACCGAATATAACCTCCCCAAGTGGTATTAGGGTGTTTAATCCTCAGGTGAAATAAACTTTGGGGATACATTTTTAGGATCCATAACTCATCATAGTATTTCTTATCCTTGTACTGCCTTGTATACTATTATTGATGTGGCATATTTATAAACTTGTATGTTATGCCTTTTCTTCTAAAGGTTTTGTAATATTTAGCACAAAAGGTTTAAGTCTTATGATACAACTGTTTCAATTGTTTGGTTTTACCCCCAGACCACAGGACTGTTTGTCTGTCTGCCGTCTAAAATTTTTGTGCACTTCATTCTTCCGAAATTTATAAAAATTGCACAGCATATATTATGAATCCCAAAGTTCCTTAGCCATGCCTTTCAAGGGTGCTAGGCTGTTAGCCATGGGAGATCCCCATAATTTGTATACTGTACTTTCTTATCTGTCAACAGCCATGGGGGTCAACTGTTATTAGTCCGGACCCATTTTTTATGATCCTTTTTCTCCTCACTTCAGGTAACAGTGACTATGGCACTCTAGGAAACCAGTATGGAAGTACAAAACTCAATTGGGGACCTTATTGGCAACAAAACATGTACCAAAAGACTCATGCTGATTAGTAAGTGATCTGATCCATTCATTTTTTAGCTGTGTAAGGAACAAAACTGCATCAAATTAAAATTCTAATTACAATATGGAAGTCATACTTAAATGTAGTGAATGTCATTAAACTTATAAAACACCCATACATGCAAGATACATGCTGTTATTTGTAGCTAATGAAAACTGTTGCAAGAAATTTGTTGAGGACCCTGGTTAAGACCTCCCCTGGGACAACAAGCAGCATCATCACTCAAACATGATGACTTTCTTTAATTTTTTACAAGCTGTTGGAAAATCAATGATTTAGATATTTCTTTACGTTCACTCATCGATATCGGTTCTAACTTCTTCATTAATTGAGAAACAGCAGTACTACATGAATAAGTACACCATGTTCATCATAATACACATATGCACACATAACCACCACACATATGCACTAACACCTGCTCGTTTCTTCAGCCAAGCTCCCACTGGATCCTATGCTGACAATTTCCACACATGGAGAATGAATTGGACCAAGGACGACATGAAGTGAGTCTCACGAACCTTTGTCTTTTACACTGTTAAAAACAATGACCCATATCACAATCATTTGAAGTGTGTGTTTAAGAATCAAAATCTGGATTTTTATGAGTCATGCTGCACACCAGGAGTCATGTAGGTTTGCGTAAAAGTGTTGTTATGATTGTAGGTTCTATGTGGATGACGAGCTCAAGTTGACAGTGGACCCCGGTACTAACTTCTGGGACTTTGGTGGTTTTGGCAACTCCTATGATAACCCCTGGGTTGCTGGTGGTAAGATGGCTCCTTTTGACCAGAAGGTGAGCATAATTATTTTTCTACCTTGTCTGACCTTGATCCTCCCCCTTTGTGTCAGACACAAGAGGGAGGAAGTGGGCGTTTTGTGCCCTCAAGCTGATCACTGCCCTCGTTTACACATTCAAAACCTTTTCAAGTGCCTTTCATTTTAGTGGCTCACTCTATAGTATTTCCAGCAAATAACTTTCATTGATATTTCCAATTGTCTCTTAAAGTAGTTACAAAACATATTTCAACAGTCAACTATAATGTTTACCAACATAAAGTCAAATGTGTGATGTAATCCCCAATGCCCCCAGTCCCCGACTCTGTACTGTACTCTAATATGACTACTGGCCATATTTTAGTATTAATACTGGTTTATGATTATCAAAATTTGTCTAACATACAACATGTATAGGGAGCAATCAGACAAATGTCATTGTCAAATCTAATCAAAGATATCCCCTTGCAAGATTATTTGAGCTAGTTTTCGTTAGCTACAAATAACAAGCATGTTGTTGATGTCATGGCAAATGAAAATATGGTGCGTAAGTCTATAAAATACTTGAGATTCATCGAGTACTGTACACTACAGGCATACCAGTATACTGTATCTATTTCATTCACATCAAAACTACATGCTAGATGGCTGATTTTCATAATTATCACCTTTACATAAACTATCAATTAGCAATACCTCTAATACAATACAGTATTGTTTTAAAGTTCTTCTCATCCACCAGTTCTACATTGTCTTGAACTTGGCTGTGGGCGGCACCAATGGTTTCTTCCCAGATGATGTGCCGAGCAACCCACCCAAGCCCTGGAACAACGTCTCCCCTCAAGCCTTGCTCGACTTCTGGAATGGAGTTAGTAAAAACATATCACCTGTATATTAGGCATTAGCCCCTCCACCCCCAGCTTATTTCACCTGATTATTAAACACCCTAATGCTACCTCGAGGGTTAGGTTAGATTGGTTAATCTTAAAATAAGCTGGGGGGCTAATTTCCAGGGGATCCTTAAAGATACTCACACTTTATTGAGAAATATAAGTAAAATTAAAAGGTTTGGGTACTGTATAAGGTGTGATGGTAGTAATTCTTGTATGGGTGACTATCTCAAGGGTGGTGACCTAAACTACATACGAATAGAAATGCATCTGAAAATTACTTAAATGTAGTTGAGTAAAGGTATTGGCCTACATAATCATCTCATCGTCATAACCCAGAGTTTTAATCAACTTCTTCTGTTGAAGGGGGTCATGTTTACAACCAGATTTTAAAAACTGGAGTCACAAAGGACACTGCACTAGTGCTCGACAGGGAGGCGTGGTAGTAAAATTAACTTATATTGGAATTAGTTCATTTTACCGTCATGACACAAATTTTTTAAAACACGGATTGTAAATATGACGGACCCCGTCAACGGAAGAGGGTGATTAAACCTCAGTGCATAAGACCTTTCCTGTTACAATACACACAAACTATGGACTGAACTTAATCTAACTTGTGTGTGAATCTGTATACAGAGAATGGTCTGCAGGTTTGATTACAGTAGTTTATGTAAATTGGTGGTCAGGCAGATATTTAAAGTTTCTTTGGAGGGGGGGGGGAATACCATGAGTGTACTGACATTTGTTTACAAATGGTATAAAGTGGAATTGTTTTTCAACTGTACATATTTATGACTAATCTATAATTCTTAGCAATCATTTATAGTGTCACAAGTGGATTTAAATTGCTTGATTACAAGTAGATTATCAAAGCAGGAAATCAAGTTAAGTATTAGGGAAATGAAGGGTGTTTGAAGTAGAATATGAAAGTTTACCTTGGGTTACAGAATCTAAGTACAGTATCATTCTTGTAGGATCTCCCTTGACCATCTCTTTACTTCATGATGTCACTAACTCTCCCTGACTCTCTGAGTCTTTCACTCTCCCATCACCCATTATTAGTACAGCAACTTGCATTTCATCTCCCTATCTCACCCCTGGTTGTCCTTACAGCATTCATCTTGGTTGCCCACCTGGGAACAAGGTGAAGGACGCATCAGTGAGAAGGCAGCTCTTCAAGTGGATTACGTAAAGGTGTGGAAGATGGAAAACATCGACCAATAACTTGTCTTCCCAAGGAACTAATTTTGCATTTCTGTTTACATCTTACAGACTTTCATGTGTTGCCCTGTGTATAATGGTAAAACAAAGGGATACTTGTGTGTAGCATTGTTTTACAAAAAATATTAACTTGTGCATTGTCTAAAGTTCTAGTGTACAACAAATATTCACTTGTGTGCAGCCCTGTGATTAATGATTTTAATGTGTATACTGGACATGAATTATGCTTTAAAAGGATTTTGTTCATTGATTTATGATACACATGGGGTGTGGGCACTGCACAAAACTTTGCTTTCATAAACCCTAGTGCTGCAGTCTTTATTAAATTGTCTAATTAATTATGCAAATAAGTTTTATATTCACATACAATATAATGTAGTGTTATAGATCAGGTCTTAGGAGTGTTTTCACAATCATTCATACCCGATGGTGAACCCGACCATCAGGAACTCAAAGCTCGTGTAGGGAGGTTATTCAAGAACGTGCTTGATCCCGATCAAAGTTGCCAACCTTTCCAAATTGGCCAGTTGTCCCACTGGTGCCACAACCCAGGCATCAAGTACCCCAATATTATTTCCCTGAAATAAAAAATAAAAAAATGTAACCAACACTAAAAAAAAATTCACATCATATGACAAAATGAACATAAAAGTGTAAAGAGGATATCTATGGGATATAGCAATTATTATTCTCTGGTGTTTGAGGTTTGTTTTGAAGGTTATATTTCGCCAGGTGTTGGCCACACTGGAATGGTCGGTGGTTGGTGTGCCACAAGTCAGCTGTCACAACAGAGTGGAAAAGTGCGGGAAATATGATACCCATGAATGTAGCATACTGCTGTCTTTTAAACAGCACAGTTCTCTATTTAGCCACATTCAAGAGAAGGGAAAAATTATACAAGATAAGGTATCTGACCCTCGAGCAGTGATTAAGAAGAGAAATGTTTTGTTTTCATTGATGCACACTCATGATCGGCCATGATTATTTAACACTTGTAAATAACTGACAATCATTGAAAGTACAGTAGTATATGTAAACAAGGCTGGGTATTATTTTCTTGTAGCTCCGTTTATTCCTACCACTAATCTATTATCATATTCGAATAAGACGTCTATATAAGATAATTTTCATCTATTACATTACCGGCGGAAATGTATAATAACGGAGATAGCTTTTCCAAATAAATTTCTGTTTTCTTCCATTATTTCCCGCCATTATCGTCTGCCTCTCGCCTAACACTGCGTGTCTCTCGCATCTCCTTCATAAATCACGACGCGCATGTGTACCCATCACGCGGCCAATCAAAAGCGTTTTTGCTAATTCAGAGTATATTTGGCCCAATCAAAATCATGTTTTATTTTGGGTTTCATATTTTGAAATTCAAGTTCAGTTCCGACCATGGAAGTCTGCGATGGATGTCACTTATAGTATATGGAGCTGATTGCGAGTTTTTGAAAAAAAACGTAGAAACTATAGCATTTTTTCGATCGCATGGTGTTCTTCCAACCTCAGTAAAGTGTACTGAGAGCAAGACGGAATGTAAATATCGCAAAGACCAACATATGTGGCGTTGGGTAAGAATCCCAGAAAGCAACGACGAACAAGAACCAGGCCAATAAGGTAAGAAATAGGTGATTCCATCATATGGTGAGAGTCAGTTAAGTTAGGTTTGGTTATTGTTTTTCTAGTGTTTTATTGTGTATTTGTTAGTCGCTTAGGCACTTTTTTTTCTCGGAAAATGTCAAACGAAAACAAATCGAAAAAAAAACCCGGCTAATTTCCGCCAAATATGAACGTCATATTCGGTCTCAGCACACACAAATACACTAGAAAAATATATTTTTAACTTGCTACAAGTGAACGGAGCTACAAGAAAAATTTATCCAAGACTGTTGCAAGCAATCTCATTTCCCATCAGTTTTGAATATATTCTATCTAAATATACCAAAATTTGGAGGGTGAAAAAGTTTTTATAATAGGGACTGTCACAGGGCAGGTACCCCCTCCCGATGAGTTGTTCTAGTGATCCCGATAGGAAACCCATTCCACTGGGAGTGCCTTTGGTTCTATAGGCATCTCTGAATAATCACACATGACGGTGCTCCCGATCGATCGAGTGGTGTAACGACTCTGAATACAGCCCTTAAATTGAGAACAAAGTGAAACATGGAAAAATTTTATATATATATATATATATATTCTGAGGCATATGGGAGAGGGAAAGACTAGGGAAGAATGGGCTGAAAATTGCAAACAAAGAGAAAGGGGAACAACATGCATGAAGCATCAGTGTTTGTGAAGGACCAGAAAGGTGTTGTAATGACAACTAATTTTTACAAGGTTTCGTTGGCAATAAAATGTGTGCAAATTTTCATTTATCATAAATACCTGTCCATCACCCATAAACACACATCTGAAATATACCAGTACAATATACATATATGTACATAGAATTAAAATATGTTATGAAGTCACTAAATGAAAGATGGCTTCTCCACAACACCTTTACTGAAACACAACTGTACATATAATACATAAATTATGATACATACCAGAATAATTAATGCTGACAATAACCACAACTTATGAGCACCTGGAATGTTCTATAATTCTTACTTAAGTTTGACACTCATAAACTATGGAATTTACTCTTTAATATCATCCACAACACTTCCACAATATCATTAGTAGTATTTCAGACTGCTCTATTTACAATGACTTAAATATTTTGCATTGTTTAAGTTAAATAGACATACTGTACTGGGCAAAGACAACATGCAGGAAAAGGTTAAGAATTATACATCCTTTTAAGAATTACAGGACTTACCTATAAACTATTACATCCACACATTTAATCGATCATTGTTTCTGGGTATATAACTATATACTTTACTTGCGATCTATAGATATTGTGCGATGATTTCAGCCCCAAAGTGCAAGTATCTTTCATTTACCTTATGACAATGAAATGCTTGGGTAGAAATTTTGAAGAAATAAATAGTATAATACAGAAGATAATCACATATGTTTACTCATTACCTTCAGCTAAATATGTGGGCTCTTAAACTTATACAGTATGATCTTGAATATCCACAATTAACACTCATGCTTACCATATTCCTTTTACCAATCTCCTCGGCAAAGGGATTAGCTCCTTCAAATTTTATAGATGATAAAGTTACTAAATTTCATCACTCGAAGAAAAAATACTGCCAACATTTACTTCTGGACTTAATCTACCCATATAAGTGACCCCAGTTTACACCAACATCCTGCAAATTTTCATTATTACATTTTATGTAAATGCACTAAACATCTTGTGAAATTGTTTTAATATTTTTCACAAGCATGTACTGTAGGTCACTAGATATCCATAATATCTCTTGGACTTTAAAGGTATTTTAGATATAACTATATATATTCCATATCAACAATAAACAGTAATACTTAAAAGGAAACTATTGTATATATATATATATATATATATATATATATATATATATATATATATATATATATATATATATATATATATATATATATATATATATATATATATATATATATATATATATATATATATCTGACACCATCTATAGTGAAGCAGAGTGACACTTTTGACTAAGAAAATGTTTCAAGTACATTAACATCACAATAAATTTTCCATATTTTTGTATTCATATTACTCAAAATATTTACATACATTTTTATGCTATTAGGTGACTGATAAATATGAAATGTCTCCATATGTTAAGTTTTCAACCATTCACTGAACTAAATAAAAAATTTACGCACTACTGGCTATTAGAAAAATGCCATACTTCATGTTATAAAGGCATATGAAGCCAATGTCCCTACAACCTCAGAATATATCACGTTCATGGTTTAACAATCTTTATCTGATGCAGCAACTTCTTAGATCAGTATCAAGCTTCATTTTAATCAGTGTTTGGTACCATAATGGGCTGTCCCTTAGGGTCATCAAAACGGTCCATGGTCTTGATATCACTAAGCATATACATTCCAACACTAAGAATGGTAACCATCAGCAGAGTTGCCAGCAGACTAATCCAGATGGAAACAGTGAAGAAGCCAACACAGTCCCAGGCTCCACCAAACTTACCCTTTACAGTAAATGGATGCATCTGGAATGAGATAAAAATAATGTTTCACTTTCATGTTAGGACTGTCTTTACTAATAACAATAACTATAGCTTAAGACCTATCTGGTAAAAAGGATTGTACAACTTACGAAAGAATAAAAACAAAAGGCCAAAATGGCTTAACCAGTAACCCCTTGAGTATGATGACTTAACCCTTGAGTATTGTGTATAACCCGCAACCCCATAACAATGAATCCATGAATTTCTTATTATGGATCACTAATTTCATGTCTCTATTCCTTAAACCCATCAGCACAATTACTTATTCCCTTGAGTACGATGACTTGATCCCCCTGAAGAGTACAAGTATTGTCGTATTCAAAGGATTAAGTCATTGTGCTGAAGAGGTTAAGGAATGGTTACATGACATTACAATAGTGATCCCCCCCCCCAATAAGATATATAAATGGGGTGGGACTATTAAAAACAAAGACAATAACATCCTATTTGAGGCAGAAGAAGTAAAGGAGATGAGAAAAGTACGAAGAACTATAGAATGGTAAGGACAGAGTAAAGGTAAGAAACAAAAAGGAAATAAAGATTAAATTGACAATTCTAATCAGAAGTTGGGAGAGCTGTGAGCAAAATGATAAAGCTTGTGGGGTTGATCAGCTTCCAGCAGAATTTATAAAACAAATGTACAAGAATGGGATAAATTATATGACTAAAATACATAATTCTATATACAGTACTGCACTGGACTTCAAAGGAGACCTTCCCAGTGATTTAAAAAAATCAATATTTGTATTACTGTATTACCTAAAAAACCAGGAGTGCACCCAGTTTAGAAAAATTAGCTCAAGTCATATCCCAGCCCTACTGTACTAGAATTCTAAAGAAAATCTTTACTGGCAACAAGAGCCTGCAGTGTTGGTAAATAATAAACATACTACAGGCATGAAGCTCACAGTTAGACAGGGAGTACGAAAAGGCTGTGTTCTATCTCCAACATTGTATAATATATATTGTATGCACAATTCTTAATGAGAGAAGTTATAAGTACCAATGAAGGACTAAAAGGTAAAGTACAGTAACAAAATATATGCCATGCAGATGATACTGATCTTATCTTGGATAATGAAGAGGCATTACAAAAACTGGTTAACAGATCAGTAAAGAACATGGATTAAGAGATACTGTAATGCTGTAAAGACAAAAGTAATGGTTGTTTCTAAATTGGGAATAAATCCTAAAATAAAAATTATGGTAGGCAACAGGGAACTTAAAAGTGGAAATTTTGGTTTACTTTGCAAGTAACATTAGCTGTGACAGTAGATGTACAAAAGAAATCATAACAAGAGCATATCATGCAAAAACAGCATTAACAATCTAAAAGACCTAATAAAAAGTGACATTAACTTCAATTTGAAAAAAAAAAAGGCTGCTGTAAAGATGTACTATAGTATATGGCAAGGACTGTTGTATGGGTCAGAAGCATGGACACTTTCTGCAGACACAAGAAAGAGATTGGAGGCCTTTGAAATTTGGTGTTATAGGTGAATGTTAAGAATACATTACTGACAAGAAAACCAATGAAGTACTAAGGTTAGCGTTGAGAAATATTTGAACTGTACAGAAAAATGAGATACTTGGTCATATAATTAGGGATGAGGGGACGATAACAGAAATATTATTGGAAAAAGTTGAGGGTAGGAGGACTAGGGGAAAGAGGAGACTGTGATGGATGGATGAATTAAATTAAAAACTGAGTCACACCCAAGAGATACAAAGTCTTGGAGGATTGGTAAAAACAGAGTGGAGGACTGTGGTTGCCAACACTCAGATTTGAAGACGGTTCTCTGATCAAGTGTACAATATTAATTACTACAGGTCCACTCGGCTGCATGTTAGTTGTGCCTTCCTTGATGAGTCAGCTGATAAATCAAACAAAATGCACACATTTTCGTGCACATTGTTATTTATCTCGATTTTTGTTATAACTGATCAGTATAATAATTCAATGGTTCTATTGAGAAACTGGAGGTAAATTAGAGAACTGTTCAATACAAATTATGTTGAATATAAAGCCTTTCGAGAACACAGGGTCTACTTACAGGGTCTCCTTCACTTTTACGTGACGCAAAATTATCACTCGTCTAACGGGCTAGTTATTTTTTAATCTGATTTGCCCTAAGGATTTTCCACTCACCCTGGACGAATGGCAAGTATGATTGGGAAGTCCTGACTGATATGACACATATGAAGATGAGGCAGACTGACGCACATGTCGCACACTACACTCATACACAAATGTTCAACTGCACATAAAGTGATGTACAAACACACAAACCATTTGGACTTGAGGATTTTCCGGACTTGAGAGAAAGAAAAAAAAGTTTATTGGGCTTATTGAAGTCTGGTGCAGAAAAAAATTTGATTCATAGAGGTTTTACTGAACTGTACTGTTTATAATTTTTGGTACAAACTATCACACAACTGGCTTGTAAACAGACTGCCAAATTTATACATGCCAATAGGAGTTGGATGGATATAACTTTTAATTCTATTATATTTCCCTTTTTTTTAGCATATATGTTGTAAAGGAACACAAGAAACAAACCTTTGCACTCTTAAAGTTAGTTAAGAATTACAGATTTGGCAGCCCAAACTAAGAAAGGACAGGTTAACACCACAACAATGAATTACTGTACAAAAACAATATGAGGAATGACCAGTTTCTTACAGATAATAGAATTTTATCAATGCAGTTTTCTTCACCGTTAACCCTGGAGGAAATGAGGAATCAGGGTAAAGAAATTCTTAAATTTGCAACCAATAATATACTTTTCTTACCTGTACACCACCCAGTACCAGCTTCACTAAACCATTACTTGAGCCAGTGTTATTATTGACAGCAGCTGTAAAGGTCACTTTCTGTGTGCAAGCATATGACATGAATATTGGAATGCCACTGATTTCTGAAGAGATGGGCTGTAAAATAAAGAAAGAACTTAAAATACTCTGAACAGAGAAGAAAGGGTCATTAAATATTCCCAAAATTCCTGTCTTCACCCTTAAAACTGATTGTGCTTAAGTTCAATAAGAGTTTTATGGCTTTCCCAATATTCACAATTTAAATCCCAGGCCATGAAACCATTGGTGAACAATTGAGAGAAAAATATTGTTCTTGATCACTGTGCTATCCATTAGTATGACCTGAATTAAATGAAATAACACTGAGTTACTTGGCACTTATAAAGGAATAATTCTGAAATTCCACATTATGACCAAGTCTGGAAAGAACTTATCGTGTATATGCCCACCAAAATCTAATTTTTAAGACCCATAGACTTCACATGTTTCGACCCTCAAATACAAGTAAAAAGGAACTCTCGACCATCACCAGATTTGTCATAAATTACTGGAGGTAGTGGTAATAATTGTAAATAGTAATAACATAGTAAACGAAATGTCCTGTACTTCATACTACCTACAAATCAGTATTACTTACCTCGTACTACTAACTTCGCCCCATTGCCTCACATACCACTTCAAGCACTTTCTCAATTCTTCCTACCCTCCATAATGCTAACCCCTGGCAAGTACACGTGTTTCTTTACAGTTTAAAACATATATATGCTTGGCCAGTTTGTAAGAGTAGAATTCTTTTACTTGTTTTTTAAGTTTTCCTGAATACACCAGCATGGGCAGGGGATGCCTACTGCTACCCAATGATCGGCCAAGCCTTCAGCAGCCTCTATAGCTTTTTAAATAAGGTCTTAAACACCAGAATTATAACTGAAGGGTCAGGAGTAATAATTTAGGAAGCTGTACAGTACAGCATTGCATAACAGACCTAACTACAGGGTGGGAATGCAAAACACCACTTTCAATCAGCCCCGAGGAAATCCGTAGTAGGAAGGAAGGATTTTAAGCCTCTATTTCCAAAGTTATGGAATGGGATTTCAGAATCTATCCTTTATTTAAACCTCAATACCTTCCAAATTAGCATCATTAACACACAAAACTGAACATATCAATTTAATCTACAAAAAAAACCCACTAACCTTGAAATATATCTCTGTAGTGTCAAAGGAGCCATTAACACCAGTTAGTGTCCACCCCTTATTTGCCATCTCAAAATTTAACCTGAAATGGTAAGACTTGTCACAACATCTGATAATTTAAGTTGTATTCATCATTATCCATTCAAAAATTTCTTACTTAGAGTGAAAGAAAATTTACATGAAGAGAATCTCTCAACACACTCCTAGCAAATAGTGACCAATGTTTCAGCTCCTGCAATAACAGTGTTGGCAATTCTTGGGAAAGCAAAGGAAATCAAATTTAATCAAGGATGGCAAGTGTTTACATTACACAAAGGAACAAGTACCTGAAGAATGGCAGGAAAAAGCATTATGAATGAACAGAAATATTACAGGGGATTAACTTTGTCAAGTACAGTATGGCTGAGAATTGTGGTGCAAACAGTGCTCTGATGTTTGGTTGAAGTGATTGCATTTGAGTGACCACAATACTCTTCCACACTAAATTTAAGTCTATGGAAAGGTACTGAAGATAAATTTGATTCGTTGCGAACATTTTGGACATACTGTACTGTAACAACTACACCCTCAAAATATATGGTTATGTGATAAAAATGTGCAGTACTTAAAACCTCAACAAATCAAATGAATCAAATAAAAATATATTGATGGAATAATGTAATTTTATCTCAATGAAAAGCAGCCACGAAAAAATAATAATATTGGTAATGAACTGTACTTACTGAAATTTGACCTTTCCATAGGTATGATTTTTATTACTTTCTACATTCTGGTATTTGATCAAAATATTGGCCGTTTTATCATCCGCAGTTCCCGGACAATGCCCAATGGCTTCACCCATGCTTTGGCCTTCATCCACAACAAGTACCTCACTGAAAAAAAATTAAACTGGTAATAAAAAAAGATTTTTCTCTTAAGACACATTACATCCATTAACATTAACTAAACTGTTTTGGGGTATCATAATAACTCCCATTGCTACAGAAAAAACAATCACCATCCAAGTTGCTTTTCTTATTGTTTGTTATCTCCACTTGCATCCATCTTGCCAATATTATTCCTGTACGGTTCTTGTCACGCAGTCAGCCACGACAACAAAATTCAGCCCATAAGAGCCCGCACTAGTAGATATAAGAATAGCACCATCCCATCTATTGTTAAAATAATAAACAACTCCTGATTTATGTACTGTACAGCCCTGTAAATGTATTCAACGCATATCATTATGTCTAAATCAAATGTAAGTTTGTATATTTTCAGCCACCGGCTACAACTCTATTAATAAACCGTTTATTATTATTATTATTACAGTCAATGTCTGTCTGCCATCACATACACACACACACACACACCGTATAGCATTGTTACTATAAATACCATACAGCCAGCATTCATGTACACATAACCCCAAGGAATGAGCAAGAATAAATCTCACCTGTCAGTACTATTTTGGTGTGTAAGGGTGACTACAGTGTTGTTGTGAAGGTAGAGCAGAACACAAGAGGTATTATAGTAGCCTGGCAACCCTGCAGAGACGGCCTGGAGTGAACGAGCCACACGAATCCTCTCCTCATACTGTTCACTGTGCTCCTCCTGTATCAAAATAAGTTCAATATTCAGTACATCGTCCCTCTTTTATTTCCGAATACAAAATAAATAGTAATGGATGCCCCTCCTGTAATGAGGATGGCCAGCCCAAGGGCCACTTAAGTGTGAATTTGTTTAAGGTGTAGAAGCTGTTGCCAATACAACAACTATACCTTAAGTTAATGAGTTGCATGTCCCAGTGTCAGGGAATAATCCGAGACCGGACAACTTGCCAACTGCACTGGTAAAATACAAACACTATCACACTCCCTTTTTTTAATACAAACACTTCTTTCAAAAATTCTAAGCAAGGTGACCAATGCATAATCCACCTAAATAATTAAGACTGCAGAGTTCCTGTATTCTTTTTTCCTATAAATCTTAATAAACCATACATGATCTTACTATGTACTCGTATTATACTGCATCAGAAAATTCCAATACTCCTTCTTTAATGCAGTATTGTACTCAGTCATTTTTTGTACAGGTAATTCGCGTTTTACGCGCGTTCGATTTCAGCGTTTTTGGAATAACGCGATTGATCAATTAATACCAAATTTAATTTACATGCACCTGTTTTTGAAATAATGTGCTCAAGACAGTTTACATTTGCCATGTGTATTCGCCTGGCAGTGGAGTTGCGTATGATGCCTAGTGAGGTGCTTGCAAGTTATTACTATAAAGTCTCAATCAAATCAACATTAATGATTTTAATACTGTATTATTATTATTAATAATAATAATTATTATAATACTGTAATGTAATAATAAAGATTATTACTACTAATGATGAAGATAATGATGTTAATGAAGAATTTTGTACAACAACTGTGACGACGTCCAGCAAGCTTCTTGCGTATTGCTTTCTCAGTTCACACCAGCACTACTTTTTTTCTGTGCTCTCATTCGCATTGTGTTTATCACGTACCTTTTTAGTGTTAAACGCTGTTTTCCCCATTGAGCATGTCTGGAAAACGTCCATCTGCCTCCTCTGGGGCGCCTAAAGCTAAAAAGGCACAAAAAACAATCGCAATGGACGTGAAATTAAATGTGTCGGAGGTTGGCCGCATGCTTGGTTTAAGTGAGAGCACTGTTCGTACCCTGTGCAGTATATGATGGTTCCCCTAACCTGTACCATTGACATGTATTCTTATGGGAACATTATGTTTAATTTATGCATTTTTTAATTAAGCGGTAGTTTTCAAGAACATAACCCCCGCGTAAAACGAGAGGTTGGTGTTCAGTAAAAAGTAATTGAGGCCACCGCTGTGGTAAGGGCACAAGCGCCACCTCACCTGAAATCAAGTTACCACCACAACAAGTTTCAACAAGGTTTCCTCTAATACAAAGTGTGTCCAATGTGGATGACCCAGCACCAGTTGTGAGTGAATTGAGGCAAGTGAACCTGAGGCCTCACATATGGAAGAGTGAAGTTGCAAAAAGGCTTTGTAATGAAGGCAAGGCATGCACCAGTCGTATAACCAGAAAATTATTACCAGCAAGGCAGGTAACTCCCCCCCCATGTGCTGATGGATATTTCACAAAAGTCACCCTTTCTCCAGTTGTACAAAATGTCACTTCTGCAGTGACCTCAATTACTATTAACCTCGGAATATCTCCTAATATCAAGTGCACATGGCTTCAAAATGCAACCCCCCCCCTTCCCCCCCCCAAAAAAAAACCAGCTGCCTGGGCTCGTTGTGCTCACCATGTTCCCCCATCCACAACTTCTTGGACCCCTCCTTTTGCTATTCCTGGATCTGCCCCTGATACTCTTATTATTTTCTCTAAATCACCATATTTTAGCAGGGAAACTATTCTTTATTGCCATTCAGCTTTTCCAATGTAATGTAATTATATCTTAACACATGGCATTTCTGAAATATTACTTCAATGTTTCTCCCAAAATTTAATCTGTGGTCTAAACCAACATTTGAAATCCCATTTGAATTCTCATATACAGTACCCAAAGGCTGCCAACCAAAAATTTGTTTATACAAGTTGGGTATCCCTTATCCGAAATGCTTGTGTCTCAGATTTTGGATATTTTTTTATTTTGGAATGCCTATATCCTGTATACAGAACCCATATAATGCGGTAGCTCACCCAGCAGGGATGGGAACCAAGTCCATGCACAAAATTAATTTATATTTCATTTATAGCATATGGATACATATATTCTGCAGGTAGTTTTATGAAATATAGTTGAATCATTTTAGGTATAAAATATATGATATGTACAGTACACTAAAGACCCAGAAAGGTAAGCAGTCACTACCATCTGTTCGGCATTGCCATGATGCCTGACTCTGAGGCACTGAGCAGTCCGTGTCTTACCTTTATTCATTACACATACATACCTACCCTAGTAATAATTATGATATATGCCATATTAGGTGTATTATCTACCAGAAATATAATGAAACAGAACTTCGGATTTCAGAGCATTTTGGACTTGGGAATTTTGGATAAAGGATAACCAACCTGTACCTATGCTTCAATGGTATATGCATCAATACTTGTAATCATTAGGTCATTGGAGATAAGAATTACAGTATAGTATGTCCTAGCTTAAACTTCACACAGACAACAGAAATAGAGACAGAACTGAAACAATTATAAAGCTTAGAACCCACTAATATCAAAGCTATACTGCATCCACACATTGTCTTTTTAATAAATTTTCTAACAACTCTATTTTACTGAATAATAATTCACCCATGGGTGTAACTGCAGATATATACTTAAACTTTCAGTATATGTTAAAAATATCATTACTCACTACAGATGGTTTCAGGCCAGTGAAGATAACTGTAAACTCCCTCTGTGCCCCAATCTTTGAGATAACATTTTCCATTACTTCATCTGCAATAAAAGTGGAAAACATGTTTATTAATATCTTCAATTCATCAAAATTATGGAACATAAAAAAATGTTTCCAGTAAAAGAGGTCATCACTATGTGAACCTGTTAAAATGTTCAATGCATATGATGCAAAAGTCCTCATTCTTGAAAAAAATAATACTGTATGCATTTGCAAGTACTGTACAGGCATGTGTGAATGTTAAGAAAAGACAAAGAAACATAATCAAGAGTAACATCATAATACTTTACCAGCTTTCTGGATGGCTCTACGTCTACTTGGGTTTGTGAGAGTGGAGGGCAGCTTTACAACCACAAGATTTTTGTCTTGTTGTTTCAGGTTCAGTCCAGCAGATGGAACACCAGGTTCCAGAACCACTACCTAAAATAAAACCATGGTACTGTAAATTAACCCTTAGGCCCAGGGTGACGTTCCAGAACGTCCGTCTATTCCCGCCACTTTTTTTAAGTTGATTTTTTCTTGATTTATCCCCGTGGGGAGGGGAGGGTTACTGCCAGCAGCACCCTAACCCAGGGCTTAAGGGTTAACATATCTGACCCTTGACCATGGACACAGACTTTGTTGTCTAGTGTAGGGGGTCCTCGACTTAAGAACACTCGCTTATTTGAACGAGGTCACAGTTTTTTTTAACGAGGATTAGCCCACCAGACACATAAGACGACACATTATGCTTTCAATATCTCCCCAGGCAGGAGTACTACCCTGTTTGATAGCTGCCTACTACCTTTACCTGATGACTTAATTTTTACTTTCATTTACCGTATTTTTTCATACTATTTCTTCTTTTCTCTTAAATTAAATGATATTAAGTGATTTTAGATGTATACAAGGACTTAGGCTATGATATAGTGGGATTTTAAACATTGTTCTGTAAGTACCGAATGCACATAGGGTATGTGTTTCGACTTGAAGACATTTTTTACTAAAGAACGTCTGTAGGAACGGCACTCATATGTAACCCGGGGACTGCCTGTACTGTAATGCTACACGTTCATGTTAGGTTTCACCACATCATTCAACTTAAGACTTGTTCCAAACGAAGGAAAGTTTACAAATGCTCATCCAGGTGACCCCATTCCATAATACCTTTACATCTTCATTCAACACACAAAAAATTCATAAAACTACTATTGCACTAAAGAGAAGTTCAAGTCTAGGTATTTGCTTCATCACATCCCCTCCTCCTAGCTAATTCTGACACCATTTAACTGATAATTTTCTGAAAAACACAAAAAAAACAAGAGGCAGACTTAATAGTTTTCATCAGAAATATCAGTACAAAGCTACGACCTTCCAATTAAACATCAAAACTTGTGAGGGGAGATGGTAGCCTCAATTTAATTTTAAACTATAATTTAGCAATGCAAAGTATGTAAAGTACTGGTGACATGGATGATTTTTTAAAAGAAACTACCCCGGTGTACTGTATATAGTTTATGGTTAGTCAAGGAAAATTATATGAAAATGTGCATAAATACACAATAGTTGCAGTGATACTAGGCAACAGGATACCAACCAATTTGAGAGCACCTGTACAGTTCAGTATGAGAGACTCCAATAACTCTCAGGACATTCTTTGATCAGTCAAGAGAGTAACTTACATTATACCCATGTGAGGGTAGGTCATGGGCCAGGTGAGCAGCTTCTTCAACATTAGGCAAGTAGAGTGAGTGGCTGCTTTCCATCCACTGGCTGACATGGTGCAGTTCAGAGGCATGGCTTGAAAGGTCTTCCACACTCAGCTGTATAAAAATAATTTATCTTCACAATTATGATATAATTCTTCACGAAATGCTCATAAAAATAAAGTCTTACAATATTCATCTTAAAACAAGAAGCAACTGGAATTGGGTTTCTGAGTTCAAATTTCCTGAATAAAATAACATGCATGAGATTCTACAAACATACTAAAAATGGGTTCCATAGGCCAGACAGCCCTTTTTTGGGCAGTAGATACAGCACACTTAATTCACTATTAAAGCTTTAGTATACAATGAGGCAGCGTGGCCAACACTACACCTAAAACATCTTCACTTCCAAACTGTGAAGTTACTGTAGGTACCAATTCAGAGCTGGGTGGGCTGGGTGCAAAACACCTTTCAATAACAATTATTTAAATTCAATAGCCAACTGGAGCTTACAGCATCTTGCAGAAAGAGGAGAATGTTCTTTGGCTTAAAGGGCTCCAGGTATTTAGCTTGGAAAGTACCATAGTTCATGAACTGCAGTGCTGACACAGCTGGAAGACCCTCCTGGGACCTGAAAAATGATTGATTGATTAGGAATACGGTCTTAGCGCAGGAACAGCCACATCATATAGCGCCGGAAAAAATTTATGCTTAAGAGTTAAACTAAAATCAAAATGACGGAAACAAAAATCTGAAGGAAAAAACTGGGGGAAAAAAATAAAGAAACCTATAAAAGACAGGCCACCCTTCCCCCCAAAACATTACAGTCTCACCCCTTGGGCAGCTGAAAAAATGAGTGATGATCACTGATTCAATACAGTACAGTACTGTACAGGAACAAACAAAGCTTTGCTCATGTTGATAGTAAAGGTATGGTATGTATACCATCACAAATGTCTCCAGGGTAAGGCTGATGAGTGGTCTGACCTAGTACCAACGTGAGAAAATTTTTCCATATAAGAAACAAACTCTCTTATCTTGGGAACTAAAAAAAAGCATTCGTACATTCTAAAGAAACAACAGAGTGCACGGCAAGCTTGTTACTGGCTATCTTCCTCCATCAATTTCAAACTTAAGAAATTACATTAAAAAAAAATAAAAAAACACTATGGAGAAACTTGGTGTGATCAGAGATGAAATCTGCATTGCAACAAGATCATGTAAACTGCCTTAAATGGAACTATTCAAACACTAGTCCTCCTTCTCCAATGGTCGATAACAAAAGCAGGGAAAAACATACAAGACATTACTATTATTATTTCTTTTGGTGGAGGATTGTGTTAACCAGTAACAAAAGGGAGTCATTTGACCAGCTTAGTTCCTCCTCCTGGTATATTATCTCCCATTGATCAGATTGTAGTTTTATACTAAAATAAAGCTGGATATTAATTTTCTAAGTTCATTGCAGTATACTCCCAAATGGTGATTTTCACGTTGTATCTATACTGTAGAACCTAAATTATCACGCCTCGAATGGACAGAAGGGCGGTGTAAACGTTTTGGACTGGGGACGAGATAGACCGTGACACCAGACTGCTCTCGTAAAGTATTACACCACTGCCTACATTTATTGTCATAACTGAGTACGGTACGTCATTCAGTGGTTCGTTCAGCTAAAATCATACATTGTTCTATAATGGATTTTATAAGGGTAATCTGCTGAAGAATGATATAATAAAATAAACTCAAGTCACAACCCCAAACCACTATTAAGTCTGTATAAAAATCTATGACATTTACCAATTTCTTTCTCTATTTTTTGGGTAATGATGAATGAGACAGTTAGCACCAAAGGGAATTTATAAAATTGCACCAAATTTTCAGGAGACATTGTTTGGATGATACGGAGTAATAAAATGGAGGCGACACCATTTTAATATTTTTTTTTCCTTTTTCGTCTATCCTTCGATCATAAATTACTTGTTAGTGGGCAGGCCATGAAAAAAGAGGGAAATAATGGGGTACAAATACTGTACTGGAAACACGGATCTTATGGCAGTAATATCATGTCTCCACGTCCTTTGTAGGTCAAGAAATACAGTATTTACAGTAATTATAGGGCCGTCTGACCTGCCACGGTGACCATGTTTTGGTTCGCATCGTTTGCTGTGTGGGAGCATCCGCGGTCTTCATATACATGTCAAGAAATGAACGACGCTCTCATGAGGTACGTTTATTACGATTTACATTGGATTGAATTAATTCATATTTTTAGAGATGATGTAAGGATGATAATAAGAAAATCAAAATGACAATGCACAGATTAGGAAGTTAGGTTAGGTACAGTTAGGTAGATTTGGTCAGGCACAGTACCTAATAATAGGTTCTGTGCATTCTCGCTTCCATTTTCGTGTTCAATATCATGCAAATAGTATCTCAAGAAATTTTGGTTAAATTTCATAAGTTATTTCTAGTGCTAACAGACTCCTAAACCTTTATCATTGGATATTACCTGTACTTCACGTGTTGCTACACGAATTTGTAAATTTTATAGTTGTAATCGGTAACTTTGACAATTATAAGACTTTTCTTCCATGACATTTCTGATGCAAATTAAATTTAAGTGAGATATTTAACATTTTATTATGTATGTTTGTACATGGTGGTACACACCCAGAACACCAAACAACTGTGGAGCTCCCCAGTAAGGTCAGGTTACTAGTCGTTTGGGCGGTCTAACTGTGGAGCTCCCCAGTAAGGTCAGGTTACTAGTCGTTTGGGCGGTCTAACTGTGGAGCTCCCCAGTAAGGTCAGGTTACTAGTCGTTTGGGCGGTCTAACTGTGGAGCTCCCCAGTAAGGTCAGGTTACTAGTCGTTTGGGCGGTCTAACTGTGGAGCTCCCCAGTAAGGTCAGGTTACTAGTCGTTTGGGCGGTCTAACAGTAAGGTGGAGATACCCCGTTAAGGGGCAGGTTCCAGTGTTAGTACAGGAGGAAACAGGGGACCGGGAAAGCTGTGGTGTTTGGTAGTGAGGGTGACACTATATAACCCTTCTCACGTGTGTCCAGACCGAGGCTCGAACCCTTGACATATTGGCGAGTTAAGCGCGTTACTGCTGTACCACCATTGGTTTCCATGTGTTTTGAAGACTTTTTACCTTGATTTTTATAGAAAATCTCTAGATTCTAAGATGGGAGGGGGAGGAGAGGGGGCTAATCTCAGAAACTATTAATTTGCGCCAGAAATGAAAAATTCGTTCATAACACATCAAAAACCATGCGTTAAAGCTATAATTATTAAATACAAACAACAAAAGTAACAGGGGTTGTAATGACCTACTGAAATAATCTATAACTTTAAGTATTCAGGCAGGAAGCTACACTATTAAAAGAATTACAACTACAACCACTGAATCAGACGGTATACTTACTGTTGTGTGTTCCATATCAGCACAGGTACATGTTCTTTGGCATATACACCACAAATTATTGAAGAAAGTAATATAACAGTGACTACCTTCCCCTCCATCTCGGTGTCCTCTAGCAGCCGATCATATGACTGTCAATACTACTACAAACCACAAGACTCCACTAACAACATATATATCTAATTTAAATTCCATAAAAAAATATCCTTTATTTAATTACTGTATAACTAAAATATTTTATCTTATTAATATTGTTTTAATTGTTGATTTATATGGAAAAATAATAATATATGTGGTTAGTGTATTAATGTGGATTAGGGATGTGTTGGCTGACGGTGTGGTCTTTCCGGGGCAACACACACCACCACAAGTATGGGTGAGTCTGGTCTCCTTAATCTTTTTTCTATTTATATGACATTTAAGACATTATCATAAATAATACACGTGATATATTGTACCATTTATTATTGTTCCAACTCCCTTTTGATACTTAGGAGTTTGTTGTATGGGTATTAGGGTATATTTGAGGTAATAGTTGGAGCCGAGTGACAAGGTAAACACGTGTGTGGTCGTGTTGTTTCTTTTAGTTAATAGCATATGTTATGGTCTCTCCTAACCTAGCCTATTACATTTTATTTTTTATTCCGTTAAAAAAATTGAATACAGTTGATATTGAAAGTTTGTAAAAATGCCTAAGTTATGACCCTTCCTTCTCTGTGAGTTTTGATCCTGAAGATCTTTGAGGCAGGGGGGGAATTTGGGGTTAAATATAATTAATGGTACTTAATGTGATCAGGTTGTTATACTCACCTACAGTACTTGTAAATAATGTTCAGATTCAGATGCTTATTCGCAATTTATAATTTAACAACTTAAACGGTTTCTTTGTAAATACAGTAGTTATATATTGTATCATATATAACAATTATGTGATGCATAATTTTATTATCTGTACAGATTTTCAATTACACTTTTTCTTCAGGTAAGCCACGAGGACTCCGCACTGCTCGTAAGCACGTGAACCATCGCCGTGACCAGAGGTGGCACGACAAAGACTACAAGAAGGCTCACTTAGGTACCAGATGGAAGGCTAATCCCTTTGGTGGAGCTTCCCATGCAAAAGGAATTGTTCTTGAAAAGATGTAAGTCAACTTCAGTATTGATAAATTGGCCTTCTGTTCCTTCTTGTTGTTTCTCTCCTATTCACATGTTTGTACTCATCCATTAGTAAATAGAATTTATTGTTTATACTCACTTATAAGGATTATTTAAAAATTTATATAGAGTTTACTACTGATTATTTTATTTCATCAGTTGTTTCCACTTGCAGTGATAATTATCTATATGGATGGTAAAGTTAGCTTTGGTATATACTGTACAATATATTTTGATCACATGAAGATAAAGCTTCCCATTTTAACCTAGTGCTGTCTGGAGGGATTAAATGAGCTGATGAGTTTTATTTTAAACAAGTCTGTTTGTATTGTTTACCTTAATTACTACAAGTTACTCTACAATTAACCACAATTGGGAATGTTAAGAGATCATTTTCTTTTAAATTTTTTATGATCAATGAAATAAGAGCAACTTCCAGTAGACATTGAGCTATAAGTTTTATAGGGGTGTTAGGCTGGTCATTGTCGAACTTTGCATACCCACTCATTACTTAGGAGCCATTGAAGGTAATACTGTATAATCAAAACCTTGACAAGTTGGGACTATCATGAGATGTTTAGTGTATTATAACCACTATGTTGCGTCAAGAATTACTCTGGTGGGTGTATTGGTGATGATGTTGCTATTAAGGTCATATCTTTGCCTTTTTTTTGTTTGGAATCAACCCATTCTGCTGTTCAATTCCAGTGTTTGGATGGTATATATATATATATATATGTGTGTGTGTGTGTGTGTAGTTAACATAGAACTGTATCTAAAGAAAATTTTCTTCCAGGGGAGTGATTTCATTCCCAATTACCTGAAAAGCCTATTCACTGTACAGTATACCACACTGACTGATCTTACCTTGCAGTGGTATTGAAGCCAAGCAGCCTAACTCTGCTATCCGCAAGTGCGTTCGTGTCCAGCTCATCAAAAATGGCAAGAAAATTTCTGCCTTTGTGCCCCGTGATGGTTGCTTGAATTACATTGAAGAAAACGATGAGGTGTTGGTGGCAGGATTTGGTCGTAAGGGTCATGCTGTTGGTGATATTCCAGGTAAGAACTTTGCCATTTTAATGGTTGGTTTGGAATTGCTGTTGCAACTGTTTGATAACTTGCTCATATGGGTTTGCATTTTACATATTCTTGAAAGTATTAAATGGACATTATAAGTTTTGCAAGAATTATCATGACATCACTTATAACAAACTTGTTTATTATGAAAGAGTACAGTACTCACTGTTTATCACCCTGTTGTATTAACCTGTTGCCAGCCCTGCTTGTTTTCCTATTACTTCTAATGTACGTAGTGTTAAATTTGCTAGATGTTCTGGAGCCCCTATTATAGAATGGATATAAATTCACTAGAGTCGGTGCAGCGAAGAATGACAAAAATGATTCCGGGACTTAGAAACCTTCCATATCAGGATAGGTTAAAGAAACTTAACTTGCATTCCCTAGAAAGACAAAGAGTGCGGGGAGATATGATAGAAGTATTTAAGTGGGTGAAAGGAATCAATAAAGGGGATACCGGTATAGATAAAGTTCTTATAATATCCGAGCAGGATAGGACTCGGAGCAACGGATTCAAGTTGGGTAAGTTTAGGTTTAGGAGGGAGATAGGAAGAAACTGGTTCACAAATAGGGTGGTGGACTAGTGGAACAAGCTTAGCAACTTTGTAGTAAGTGCGGGAACTCTGGAAAGTTTCAAAAGGAAGCTAGATAGATTCGTGGATGATAGAGAGTGGTAGTAACTCTCGACAGGAGCTGCCATGCACAGGCTAACCGGCCTATTGCAGACTCCTTATTTTCTTATGTTCTTATGTTTTACAGGAACACAACCCCATCATTAAACTGGGTATACCTCTATCATAATATAAAATAAGCCCTTTACAGTTTTTGTCATATTCTTGTTGCTCTGTGCCTAACTGTAAAGAATTAAGTCCAGTATTTCAATTTACTATTTTGAGCCAATTGCTGGTTTTCCTTCACAAGATTAGAATAGAACATTCAGCCACTCACAAAAAAATATATATATTTCATGTGTATCAGTGACATTTCCTGAATCCACATGTTTTACCTAAATTTTGTTCTTCAGTCAGTGATGCTATCTGATTTCTGGAGTAGAGGACATTTGTCGCAAATTAGCTTTAGGCATTGTGTGTGTGTGTGTGGTCCATCCCATCAAGCTCAATGTGGGGAAGATTCTGGAACTAAGAACAAGCATTTTGGAGGGTTAATAGGTGTGCATATTGTAATGTGTTATGTCAATTAATTTAATAAAGTTTTTGCTTTTGGAACTTTGCATTTTTCTTAAATGTTGGACTTGGTGTAGCCACAATGCAAAAACCATTTTTGTCAGTTTTTAAAGATTCAAAAATTTTTGTCGGCATTATGAATGTTTGTATTCAAATTTCGGTATTGTTAGGTGATGGTGAGGGCTTATTTTAACAAATTTATTGCAGTATCGGGCAACATTGTTAATGAGTTCCCTTCTTTTTTTGCTTGTGGTTATCATTTTAATTTACAGTTATTAGAACAGGTTATAGAGAACAACTTGTACTTACACTGTTTTGCCATTTGCAGGTATCCGTTTCAAGGTGGTGAAGGTTGCCAACGTATCCCTACTTGCCCTGTACAAGGAGAAGAAAGAGAGGCCTCGCTCTTAAATATCTTTACCCTCAATAAAAAAAAATAAACATTCTCTATTAATTTTCCTTAATTGTCTTTTGAAATAATACTTATGACATTCAGTATGTTATTGCAGTGGTTCTGAAAATCATAGCTATATACTGTAGTGGTTAACTTGGCATTGACTATACAGTACTGTATTTGAAAACGTTGCAAGGTACAGTACAGTATTAGTGATATTAGTTCTTCGAGATAGTTGAATTTTAGTTTCAAATTACAAGAACTGCTTCATGGATAAAGGCCATTGTTTACTGAAAGAGCTCCTGATTTTTTTCTTCTCGGTATAATAGTACGGGTATGCTAAATACAAAATTATTAAAGGACATATACTTGGATTTTTCAAATATTTGATTTCGGTAATGGTCATCGGGACCAAAGTATGCACACGGGTTAGTAGTTTGAATGTTTAGTTTTAAAATTTTTACTACTATACCTGTACAATATTGGTAGTCCTCAGAAACTTTAGAAGTTCTGATTCTATTCTAAGCATAACAAATAAAATTTTCTTGCCTTCTGAACCATCACAGTGTGGTGCTATCTCTCCAAGTTAAAGTTTTCCATGAGCTGCTGTACTATTACAAAACCACAAAATTGTTTGTGGCTAGGATTACTGAACTGTGAAAAAAATAAGCATTACCACCCAGTAAGGAGACCACCTTCACAAGTTGACCATTGCTATTAATTGCTTAACCTGTAATGTGTCCATACCATTTTAAAATGGCAGGACAGCAGTGTCAACTGTTTTAAAATGCCTGTATATTTATGAATCTGCTCGCTTATGACAGCTTACAGCCTAAATACAAAAAGTTAAAATGGGACTAATAGCAACTATCCTAGTGGAGTTGAGCAACATCTTGGTGGCGTGTGCAAGGCTCTTGGTGTTGCCATTATCATTTTTTTTGTCTGGTGTTTACATTAATTAATGCAATAATTTTAGACATTTAAACCATTATTTTCCATTACACATTTAATATAACTTGATGTATTGCACTTTACAATGATGGCAGGAATTGAAGAACTTGTCTCAAATTACAAGTACTGCTTCATGGATGAAGGCCATTGGTGCCTAAACACTTAACTGATCACGTGACTCAAAACCCACACAGAACGATGTACTGTACTGTAACCCTTGCTATCAATCTGATAAACTGTTATCTGTGGAGTCGGCTGTTTGCAAGAGGACATCATCTGGCCTGATAGGGCAGACTACCTGGAATCCCTTAGCATCCCACCTGCATTCTCAGAAGAGTGAACCTCTAAATTGTGTTTCAGACACTATTAAGTTTATAAGGTAGGCAAGAATCTTTTATTTGATTTGTAACTTATGTAACAATGAAATGCTGTTAAGTTTGACATGAAAATATACCAGCTGAACTTTTCTTTTAGGAAAAACTTAGTCAATTAAGGAATTTCTTTCACAAATTGCATCTCAATTGTTATGACTAATACAGTATGGTTCAGCAATCAGTGGGGTCTAGATAATTTATAAGTTCACCTGTGGGTTCCATACTCGGTATAAAAGTATCTTTCAGGAGAGGTCCGATGAATTTTAAACTGGATAATTTCGTAATTAAGATTTGTAACCAGGTGAGAAGGTTGGGTCAGCTTACCCTCTGACCTGACTACCAACTGCTGCAGTGCTTTTTGAAGATTAGTAGGGTCATTACCTAATACCTGACCATTGTTGACTTGATCTCACCCTCCTCTGTATATATATATTTTGTTTTGTACTTCTCCTTAGTCTGTACTCACCCCTGAAGATGTGAATTACACGAAAGCACTTGGGAACTTCGTGTTTTCTTCTTTCCTTGTGGTTATCAGCATATATATATATATATATATATATATATATATCGATAAAATCACACGGGAAAATGGAAACAACGGAGTACCTTAGCTTTCGTCTTTATTCAAGACATCTTGCATATAAACCTTCCAAACTTTTGAAGTGGTTTGGAAGCCAAAAGGCAAGATAAAAAGATAGCCTATGACCTTTCGTCATAAAATTTCTGGGTGGGTGTGATGTATTACAGTGACCCTTGACACATCTTTTTATTGATCACTATATCTTAAAACACATTGTAATGAAGTGTTGACTTATAACAGGCGCAGTATGGATGTGTTGGAGTGCCAGGTGTGCTTCGAGAAATATAATTCAGTCAACAGGAAGCCACATTCCGTCACATGTGGCCACAGCTTTTGCTCGGTATGCCTAACAGACATGATGAAGAACGGTTTAAGCTCGTGTCCACATTGTCGAAAAGCTCTCAACACCAGCACCCTTGACACCATTCCTGTTAACTACAGCATATTGTCACTCGTAGAGGCTGTTGAAAGGACATCCATAGACCTGTCATCTCTTGGTGTATCAGAGGCACCAGTGAGACCCCCCAAGGAAGCAGCTGGTGTGTGTGATGACCATGGCAACTATCTGGTGTTCTTCTGCACAACGTGTGACAAGTGGATCTGTCGTGATTGTACTGTTATTGAGCACGAAAAGACGGCTCATAAGGTCATCTCCATTAAGGCTATGCTACATGAGAAGAAGAAAGAAAACACAACAAACCTTGAATCAATGGAAAACCAAAGTAAACAACAAATCGGTGATCTTGTGGACTATTTAAAAGAACTGCAAACTGAAAGGAGCATGTTGGAAAAAATGAAGGAACAAATCAAGAAGGCCATAGAGTTGAGCCTGGAAGAACAGGATCGTGTAAAGCAAACTTTGACAGAAGGTGAACAACTTCAGTGTCAACTGTCAGCAGCCAAAGTGTACCTAAGTGATGCTACAACATTAGATGAAGTCAACAATGCCGTCACTGGGACCGGCAGCTTCAAACAATGTTATGAACAATGGACTTGTGACAGCACCAGTAGACTCATGTCACACAACAACAGAAATAACTTTCTCAAGGTAAGAACAATCCTTAGTCAAACTAATACATGGTATGCTGTTACTTCTAACTGTATAATGGTTTTAAAAGAAATTAGCTTTACTCTGACCAAAACGGCCAAAGTCTAATCTAACCTTACAGAATAGGGCCATTTTCTTCAGTTACCTTTTATAACTACATCAATCCACTTTAGGGGTGTGATATTATTAAGTTATAAATACAGTGCTCTCTTCTTATAAAAAAGGCACATGTTCATACCCTGTACACCCCCAGTGGTAATGTGTTGTGCTGGCCACAATGCCTCCATGTTCTAATAGCTTAGTCTGCACTGTGCTATATCTACTCTCTCTCTCCACAGGTCCCACTCTCACAATCCTAATTAATTTAGATGAACACTAGATTTTTATGATCTTGTTAATTTTATGACTTCAATGTTTTTCCAAACTTTTTACTTGCTAAGCTCAGCTCTTCAGATTCAAACTCGGGATAAGTAACTTTGTCGGGTAGTATCAATGTTGGAAATGTATATACTGTACAAGACTAAACTAAACACTAAAAGCCATTGGGAACAGAATCTGAGCTACAAAAATGTTCCATGTATGAAGGTCAGATGTGAAAACTATTTTCTGTATTTGATAGGGGAGAATAAGGGTAAAGGACCAAAACAATGATCGAAGTGGCTGTAGTTGTGTAAGGATATCCTGTTCACTAGCTTCAAAAAGTATCTTTGGGGGGGGGGGGTCCGATGAATTTCAAAATAACACTGACTCCTGCTGTCTTGGTAGGGTTGTCAAAATCCTTTGTCTGTTGTGTCATGTTTTCTCACAAAATTGCATAAGAAACATTTTGGGGCGGGTAAATATATTGGGTTCCAGCATACAGTACTTCAAACATAGCAAGAATTGTGTGTACAAGTTCATATTTTGAATAGAGTTGTTTTACAGTGGGTGATGATGATGGTGTCTGGTAGTGACGTGAAGGAAGGGGTGCATGGGGGCCGTGCCATATATCTGGTGCAGGAAGTAGAGGGCAACACACTCGCTGCACCCCTGACTCTGCACCATGGCCGCCTCCACCTCCATGCCCTCATTTCCAAACAACCACCAGAGGATGCAGTCATTCTCCCTGTAAGTCTTAAATTATGTACAAGGACAAATATCATTGTCTGTCCAGTATGAAATTCAATATCTTGTTTATGCTTTTGACCCTGTAAGGATTTCTACCAAACATTCTCATACTTGTTAACTTTACTAGAATGGAACCCTGTCTAAGTGGATACAGTACCAGTATCTTAGGGTAAAATATTTCTGGTCTGGTCTGTTAATCAGCTTTGCCTAGATGGAGGATCAGAATATAGGGCATTGACCATACCCTAACCTAGGCCACCTGCACCTCCCTACCAAATATCTGCTCTCTCTCTCTCTCTCTCCAAAATTATGAAAAAGCAATACAAACATACGAGCAGAAAGTAACCTGTACATATAGGTACATACTGCATACCGTGTAATATTACTCTGTACCAGTCTGTCTGATGTGTCTCTCTTATGCACGCAGTACAGTCGGGTGAGAAACTTGGTGGACGCGTCATCAGCACTCACCTTCCTGCAACTGGCCTGGGGCTCAAACACGGGCAACCATGTCTACATCCGCATGAGTGGCAACACCAAACGAGGCCAGAACTTCCTACTGTTGTGTACTGGGGAGCGTGGCCCCTCATACTCAGGCTCTCACCTCACTCTGGCTCACTGGCTCGGCCGTTGCGGGGAGTATGTCGAAGGTGGCGACTATGAGAATGACAATGGAACCGGGGGAGCACCACTGCTAGATGATCTGGAGTATGATGGTGAACTAAAGCAACCCATCACATGTGGTGTGGTCAGTGCCAGGAGCAGGTCCATAAAATCTGCCTCCATGTTTAAAATTTACACCAAAGACTCTCCAGGTTACTTTGATAAAGGTGTCTTTGGCAGCGTGGAGATCGGGATGAATGTTATGAGGGAGGTCGTCATGCAGAAGAAGATCACAACTGTCGAAGTGTGGGACTGTGGTGTTGTGATCCCGTTTGAGAGCTGAGTCATGGTGAATGCTATCTACCTCTTACATATTACCCAGCCCACTGATATGCATCACTGTGTAACAGGTTTAACACTACATAGAAATGACTAGCATCAACACTTCAATAATTATCCACAGCTGCAGTAGTATTTTTTAAACTTTACTTTCAGAATTAGGTAATAACCATTCAATGAAGGCTCATTTTGTTTACTTCAGTGTATATCTGGCTTTCTTGGTTTTGACTCATTATTTTGTCTTATTACATTCCCACTTAATGTCTTCCCTTAGCTCATCAACCAGCCATTACATCATTGACTCAAAATGCAAATATCTTTTGCTCGTAATTGCACAATAAGTGAACTGTATATGTAAATTGTGGTGGTAACTTAGGTGGTTTCAGAAAACATCAGATTACAGTATTTCCAAATATTGTTTCAGGAAATGAGAAGTCCCAAAGGGTGCCGGATGCAAGAGGTTAAGCATCCGCAAATTTGCATAATAAGATTATAAGATTTTTTCCAGCTAACCTAACACAATTAAGATTGTAAATTATTTTTTCAACTTGCCTAACTTTAAGATTATGTTAATTGAAGAAACCAACTTTCAATCTTAAATTTGATGGGATGCAGTATAACAAAATAGTAATCACCTATTTGGCATATAGTACTGTACTGTACTTTTTTTTAGAAGGGGTAAATCAGATGCCTGAAACATGTCCTTAGGTGTATTGTAATGGACAGAAGATAAAAGTGATGCTTATCGGTAGGACTTCTGGTAGCGCGCACGGGCTCCTGGACCTCCGAACTTCTTTGGCTCACAGCGTCTAGGATCGGCAACCAAGAGGGAACGGTCGTAGCTGATCAAGATGTTTTTGATCTCTTTCTTGGAAGCTTCATCCACAACTGTATAAAGAATTTGATGTGTATTAAAGTGCATGAACAATGATGCTACCTTCTTATAACATTAACATACTAAATACACTTTTGCATGAATTTTACAATATTATGGGAAAATGCAATGTTTACAGTTGATTTTACAATTAAGAAAAAGATACTTACATTTCTGATAATAAGCCACTAAAGACTTTGAAATAGCTTGACGGATGGCATAAACCTGTGAGGTGTGGCCACCGCCCTTTACACGAACACGGATTGTAACATTAGAGAACCTATCCTGAAACAATAACAGACAACTTGAAATTCCATGCCTCGGTTTTATATATTACCTACAAAGTTATAAAACTAGAAGACTGATCAACACTGTACCTCTGAAATTTAATACTGGAGCTAGTAATAATTTCATTAAAAATTATGGAGGTCATAATACAGCTATTTACATGAAAAAAATATGTTCTGAGAGCTGATAAAATATTTTTACCACAGTATTATTCCTGAATATTCTACAATGACTAAAATGGTAAGATCAATTACTCACAGCTGGCATATAGTGTTTCTGGCAATATGATACTATTAAAACACTGTACAGTACTTACGAAGTAAAGGTACTATATACATGTATTCATAATTTTAGTGTAGTTAGTTAGGTTGTCAAGAAGTAGCATTTTGGATTGTACAGTACCAAGACCTCAAAAAATTTATTAGACACCTTACCTTGCCAAGGAGAAGGACAGGCTCCATCAGCTTGAACTGCAGAGTCCTGGGCTCAATGTGCTCCAGTGGCCGGCCATTAACCTTGATCAACCCATGTCCACGCTTGCAGTGAGCAACAGCTGTGGCAGTTTTCTGTGGGGAAATAACTTTTCACATCTTTGTGTTCTGAACAACACTCTTCTCATCCCTTAAAATTTAAAACTACTAACATAAGGGAGTCCTAAAAAGTAAGACATAACAGAAATTTCCTTCTATATAATCTTAAAGATCTTTCTACTTAAATTATATTATTCAAGAAATAATGGTGATCAAAATTCAAATTACTTTCACCAATAAGATCACTTTCACTATTTCTTCTACCAAATCACTATTCTGCAGCTTCTGCCATCATCAAATGTTTAACAGTAAGGTTTCAGGTTAATACTAAATTTAGAAGTTGCCACCACCTACTTACATATTGAGTCTTTATAGGAAAAAAAACTAACATTGTTTTATTCTATCAAACGTTTTCGTAGTAAATGTATATTTTTCGAGTATTTTAACCGATAAAACACTTTAAAAAGAAAACAAACCTAATCTAACTACGTATTTAGTATCATACATATGGCTATTTATAGATGTATTTCCAGTGCAGGAATCTAAGGTTCCTCTATAATGGACTCTTCAACCCTCAGTGTGTCTAAAGTGCTGTAGAAGATATCAGCAGTGAAGCCATTATACATCACCTTCCCTTCCCATGCAAATAACGTTAAAATTCTCTTTCCAGCCATGCATACATTTGATAGTCGTTCAAAAACTATTGTATAAATATAATTTAAATCTAACCGAATCCATCCCAACCTCACTTGAACTTAAAATCCTAAAATTTGCTGCATGACCCAAACGATAACACCCAAATAACATCTCCAGAAAGTTTGATTTAATTGCATTAGTTCCTTTTGGTGATAATCGTCCCCTCTACTCTTGCCTATATAAAAGCGACGAAAACTAAAGGAGCCTTTAATAATTTCCCATTAGGGTCACTAACTAATCTTTACCAAGTTACGTCAATAATTACCTTCACTAAAGAATCTTTATCAATTTATCTGCTAATAACTAATCAATCATTTTTCTGCCTTTATATGTGGAAGAGAAGAAGCATTTCTTAAAAGTTAATTCACAAGGACAGTAGTAGCCGTAAGTACTGTACACATGTCAACAACGTGGCCACAACTCACCTTCCTGCCGAACACCTGCACTGACGGTATGGTCTCCTTGGTCGTCATCTGCAAAAACAATATCCACAAATAATTCTCAGGTAGTGTCAAAATTACCTCTAAGTCTTACACAAAGCCCAATTAAATAAAGTATACTGTGAGAGTGAATCAATCTGACGCTCACCTCGCCAAGTGCTGCAGAGGGAAGGAGTACCACACACCACACGACCATCCACACCACCTAACACTCACAATAATACACACTAAATATTTTCAACGTAATCACCTTTTCTAATTATAGTTAACTAAATAATTAATATAATAATCTATTATTCCGAAAAATAGTAGAATTCTATTAACAAACTCGCCATTGTATGCATTAACAGAAAATAGTAATTGAGCGGGAAATTTACATATTTAAAAAACAAGAGGGAACAAATATATCGTTTTATTGCTCCAAATAGAAAATCCATGATGTATTTATAGAATATATAATTCCTTGATCAATTAAACGCATGGCATAAATTATTTCACAAATTATACACCGTAGTATGGAGGTTGTCAATTATATCACTACACATAGACTCGGGCACCCATCCCATCCCTCTTTAATCTTTCTTATCAAAGGAAGGTAAACTCAGACAAGTCTATTATACATATTAAAAATGACAACAAAACCAAGAAACATACCACAAATACTTAACAACTTGGAAGCATGTTAAGTTTATTATCAACGAAGCAGCAAAATTATCTGCCTTTCAGTCCAAAACACATTCTTTTCAATCAAGCAATTTGGCAAATGGTTCTGGTCATTAGCCAAGGTAAGTTATAACAATTTATCCATCCTAATAATACTTTCTCATCCAACCACAGCTCAACAGGATAAAAAGCCGAGTAAATACACATACTTGCACTGTCTATGTATATAATATAGCTGTACTTTCTATACACATACTGAACCAATTAGAACTTGTATCACGATTTTACTAAATAAATGTTTATTTATCTATTTAAAATTTGCCTATAAAATTAATTCATTAGTGTCGTATACCGCAACAATAACAGTCTACCTATTTTATCCTCTTCACCACTGATCGGCTCGTTTAGTGACAACCAATAATATCAGTATTTTTTTTTTATCATATAGAATAGTTCATATTAAAATAGTTTATTAGAAATCAAAATGAAAAGGATTGGATGTGTTTTATTAACGTTTACGCCCGCCTTTCAAACCGCCAAAACTTTGATCCCGGCCAAGGAACTAAGGGTAAGTTTACTACATTATCTCTACAAATACTACTATATCATATAATTGGAACAGGTATATAGAGGCTGGTAGTGTTATAGAGAACCATGGCTTTATACCTGATGTAATATTGACTTTGTGGAGGAGTTGACAGTAAGAATTAATCCTGACCAAGTGTAGTTCCTCCTTGACAATGGCTAAGTGTTCAGAGTTCCCTTTAGGTGAATGATATATATGGTCACGTAGCCTATAACTTGATGGTAAGATGGGTTAGATTGATATATATTTATACCTTAATTAAACTGAGGAATTTGATGTTAGTTCTCAAAAAAGCATGAGCATTAAACAACCTGTTAGGAAGTGGCGGGATTTCGTAATACTACCTGACTGAGTATAATGAACTAAGGTGTGGCACTGAAGGTAAAATACAGCAAGAGAATCTCTGTTAATGTTTTCAAGTAGGTATTTTAGTTTTTAACATGTTTATAATATGCTTGTGATCAGTGACACGAAATATTGTGTTAGGACCCACGTGTGATGTGGCTTAGTCTGATTTACGTACTTATATTTTTAGATAAAACAAACTTATTCATGGAAATTTATAATCTAAATGAATGAGGGATTATAGGACGATCTCTGTTAGGTTTAGTAATGGTGAAAAGATGGCTAGTTAGGTAGTTATTCTATAAGATTTACATACAGGATTTATATCCATATCACCATTCAATATGTATTGGTGTAAGGCCTTGTGTTTTCCAACGCCTACACCACCCTTATCTTACTTACTTCTCTAGTTCTTTTCTTACTCAGTTCCGTTACATATTCTTTTGGTAGCATGGTCGACAGTGCATGATATGTACTACAAATAACCTCGTATTTTCTGGTTATTTTTGTGGATTAAGACTTCTGGGTCATAATACACTCCATGGTGCCCTTCTTCTTGCATCACTTAACTTAAAGACTGGATGCATGGTGACTAATTATTGTCACCTTTGTGTGAAATCAAAAGAAATTTTACCATTACAATTTTCTTCCAGATGCATCCCAAGGAGACCACACAGTGCATACAGGAGAATGGAGAGACCACACACAAGAATGGGGAGACCACACACAAGAATGGGGAGACCACACACAAGAATGGGGAGACCACACACAAGAATGGGGAGACCACACACAAGAATGGGGAGACCACACACAAGAATGGAGAGACCACACACAAGAATGGGGAGACCACACAACATGTAGAGGAGAATGGCTCTTACGTATGTATTAATATGATTAGACAACTTAAGCAGGGAGGTGAGTGCCTGAAGTTGCTCTTGTCCTGTCTGAACAGGATGACAAGACTAATCCCAGGCATTAAGAACCTAGGAGTATAGAAACAGATTCAAGCATCTGAATTTGCACTCCTTCGGGAGACGTAGAGTGAGGGGTGATATGATCGAGGTGTATAAATGGAAGTCAGGGCTACACAAAGGTGATATAACAAGGTACGTAAATTATCCAATCATGAACGAACTTGTAACAATGGTTTTAAATTAGACAAGTTTAGATTTAGGCGCAAAATAGGTAAACACTTGTTTGGAAATAAAGTACTGGAACAAGTTACCAAACGTCATTAACTCGAACACGCTGGATAGTTTCAAATATAGGATGGATGGATATACACTATACAGTATCAGTGATAGGGGTTGGGTGTAAACGGGACTGCCTGGTATGAGCCGATAGGCTCGCTACAGTTTCCTCCATTCTTATGTTTGTATGTGCTTATGTTAATTCCTCCCATAATTTTCCCTTATCATGGGAATTAGCTCATAATGAACTTATTGAGGTGATCCATCCTCTTCCTCTATTGACCAATCCAAAGCTTGTATTTCAGTCATGGAATCTGTTGTAAACAAGGAACTTCTCAAATACTGTACAGTACTGTACTGTGAAGAACACCCTATCCTCCCTGACACCCATTATGGTTACTGCTTCAGCCATTCCAGTGTTTTTCAGTTTTTGCAGATATGTTTTCTTGGCTTAGTAACTACATTCCTATACACGAACTATTACCCATTTCTTAGTACAGTAAGTCCTCGCTTAATGTCGTGGTTACGTTCTTGAAAAACACAACGTTAACGGAATCAATTTCCCCATAAGAAATAGATAAAATACGCGAGTTACGTTCCCCAGCCTCCCTTTGCCCCATAAAATACATTACATATACAGTAGATAAATTCAATGGGGTTTTTATGGAAAATATATACTGTATTATACACCAAAAAATATAAATAAACTAAATTATATTGTATTGTACTCACTGATGGGCAGAGGTGGAGCAAGTGTGTGGTGTGTTTAAAACCTCCATTTTAGTAGCATTGCTAATGGTCCTGTGTTGCTTCTTCACAACACTAGCATCACTAACACTTGATGGGTGCTTGGAAGTCATTTTGAATGGTTACAGTACAGTATTTATAGCAAAAACTCTTAAGCACACACGTACGCTGTGGAAGCCTAACAAAGAAAGGATGCTGTGACGCTCCGCGTGAGAGCGTAGTGCGCCAAGATGAGAGAGGGTGATGCACCATACAGAGTACAGTAGTCTGTGACGATGTTATAATGAATTGGTCGGGACATTGTTAGAATCATGGGGATCTAAAAAGTAGCGACGTTATAGCGAAACAATGTTTTCGGGGGCAACATTAAACGAGAACTTACTGTAGTGATCCCTGAGGAGTGCACAGGTAGGCAGTTTGAGTATACTTGTAAACACAGCCAAGCTTACATTTGACTGGTTAGTCCATATTTTATTTTTATTTTCTTTCATTATGGATTTTTTATGTGAAATTTATATTCAGTTGCACAAGTTGTCTTTTATAAATTTGATTAGCATACCACATTCTTAAAAAAAATGATTAATAGACAAGACTGGATTTTGGAAATTGTATCAGCAAGAGGCAAATTTTTTTTTTAAGTGATACAGTATCTTGGGTGTTTTTACATACTGGTAATTTGAGTACAGTAGTCCTTCGCCGATTGTGGGGGTTAAGTTCCCCCAAAACTCTGTGGTAGGCAAATCCGCAGTTGGCAGGACAAAGGCTTATGGGAAATAGATGACGGTAACCCCATCCCGTATTCAACTAGTACCAAAAAGAAGATAGTGCAGATCATAAGACTTGGGTGTTGGAGGGTGTGTGGATACAGTCATGATGGTAAGAAGGTAGTGAGTGGGACGGTGTTTACAAATGTGAAGACGACAAATAATTAATTAATTGCAGATTGAGAGACATGAGGAGCATCAATATTTGGATCTGATCAGAAGAATACTGAACAATGGCAACAGAAAAGGTGACAGGACTGGCACTGGCGCTGTTTCCCTTTTTGGTGCCCAGATGAGGTTTTCTTTAAGGAATGGTAAGTTTTGTATGTATTTTTTTGTCCGTATGATGTATGTAAGAGATGGTATGCTAACAGTCTCTGTTCAGTGTCACCTTCTCCCATATTACTTCTTATTCTATCTGTTTCCACTATTTACTAAACTTGCACCTCACTGTGTTATTGCACTTTCTTCTCCACCCATGAAAATATTGCCTTATATTTTCTTGAATTGGGTACCAGGAAGTAACTTCCAAAACATTCTTGACACATTTCATTCCCTTATTGAAAACTCTGGACATCATTACCGGTACATAATTTTCCCTAAACTCATTGTGGACATAACCTGCAACAGTAGTGGTACGGAGGGTAGCACTGTTCAGGACATATCCCACAATTGTTGCAATGTATTTCTCATAGACCCAATTTAAAATTCTCATGCTTTGTATTTGCTTAACATTTTTGTGAAAGCTTCTGGGAACTGCCCTGAAGCCTTTCACCCATTAGTAATGGTTGGACCATGTCTGACTCAAGACATACCTCATCTGTTTAGTGCAAACTGAGGTATTGTACATGTAATTATATTTGGTTCTGGAGACAAGGATGACTCCCATGCATATGAGGCTCCTACATGGGATAGGAGTAAGTTTTTATTTATTCTCCCTGGTCGCCTGCATTTTGATGGTGAAATTAACATGTTTTTATAATTTACTTTTTATTTTTCAATATTTCATTGTCCATTCTTAGTTTGCATTGCTGTCACAACTCCCATAATCCCTTGCACGGTCCGCCATCTTGTAGGTATAGACTCAACACACTAGAGTGATCACTATCATAAGCAAACACTCCTACTTTGTATAAGTTATAGATAATGTGACTTCATGTGTTGTGTTTTTTTGTCAGACGTTACTATCACTTTGGAATATGTGTTTTCTGCACAATTGTCAAGTAAACTATCTTGTTGACACCTGATCTTTGAACTCATCTCTCAAACCTCTTAAAACAATAGGATATTTCCTATCCCAAAATTTGGGGAATGTAACTGTCACAGAATTCAGGCACAATGGCCAGAACCGACGGCTTGTTCTGTCCCTTGCTTAAATTCGTAAACAGGGTTTGCAGTCATCAGCCGATGGAGGGGGCACATTTGGCATTGCTTTGATTTGACATGGTGAAACAGTAGCACTGGAAATTAGGAACTCATCAAGTTTCTTCTTCTTGGATTTTGCTGATATAAAATAAATTTCTTGAAGATGTTTTCTCCCTATCTTTTGTACATAAGATGGTAGCATCCAATATGCCTTGGCATTGGTAGTAGCTTCTGAAGAAAATAGTAAAGCACAAACATGACTGCAGGCTTCTCCTAGACTGGCCATACAATTACAATGGGCACATTGTACTTCCTCATTTGCATTGACAATTAACCATGGCTGCAATGGTGTGGCATTCATACTCTGGGAATAGCGAACTCTGCTGGACACTAGAATATTATCACCAAAGTTGATACACTTCACTTTTTTAACCCATCCATAGACCAAAAAATTTTAGGCATCTAATGACTTGTATGCCCTGAGTTCATCAAGTGTATAAGCACTTTTTCTATAAATCTGTGAGTAATAATGTCCATGTTCTCTATCAATGGGAAAGTATCTGGGTATACCGACCATCTTGTCCGTGACTATGTGTCTAATGAATCAATTTATCCCTGTGTGTTTTCTTTATCACCACTGTCCGGTTTCTTACTGGATAACATTGTAATGTGTTGTAAACGAAGCTGCAGCGTTAAATAGTCACGTCGAGTATGGCATGTTGTTGTTGATAGTTGTGAGTATACCTACGACATGGCGGCGGTCAGAGGATCACGTTGCATTAAGGGAGTATGTGACGTCATGCAAAAACTAAGAATTGGGTAATGACCATGAGTTGCCATCACTGTCCTCAAAGGGTTAATCCCGTACATTTCAATACTTGTTCTTCTTACGTTGCATTTCTGTATACAGGTTTTGTATTCTTTCATGGGTGGGCAATTATTTTGGCTGGTGGGCCACATGACCATTTTAGGTAAGCTTCATGAGCCACACTTTTTGACGATGTAAAGTTGTAATGTAAATGTTTATTAATAGCTTAGATTCTTGTCTTCCATTTATACATAGAGGAATTAAAGGATACATAATTGGTATCAGTTAAAACATTGGGGGTAAATAAGAACAAAACATTGTTCAGACATTTATTCAATTGAGTACTGTACTGTACTGTATATGCATCTATAAGTGAATGAGAATCTCACTGTGGCAAGAATAGATGAGTTGATGTACACTTGTTACCTGATATAAATAGACAGAATAGAAACAGCTCATTGAGCAGATACTTAGTAATGTTTGTTATTATAGACAGTGTAGATGTATTTCACAGTGTTACTAATCCTTCCAGGTGACTTCCCACTGCTCACAACAAAGAGAGTCTTTTGGCGGGGTGTTGCAGAAGAACTGATCTGGTTCATCAAAGGCTCGACAAATGCCAAGGAACTACAGGAGAAGAAGGTCCACATCTGGGATGGAAACTCTTCCCGAGAATTCCTTGACAAATCAGGGTTCGCCAAGAGAGAGGAGGGGGATCTGGGCCCTGTGTATGGGTTTCAGTGGAGGCACTTTGGAGCACAGTACACAGACATGCATGCTGACTACACTGGCCAGGGTGTTGATCAACTTCAGCAGGTCACTTGGCTAATTTTATATTTACACTGTATTCTGTGTAAAAGCAGACTCTGGTTTATGAGAGGATTATGTTCTTAAAAAACCTCATGTTTATTTTTTGTAAATTGATGCATTCTCATAGTTTCATTATATAATTGGAGATATGGTCTCTTATGAGAAAAAAATCCCACACTTGACCCCTGGTAAAGTATTCTGTAATCCATGGTTTACGTAGCGTGACCACTGTGGTCAAAAACACTTAATTTATGACTGACACTTAAAGAAGTCCTGGGCTGATACTGTACTGTATTTATAAAATTTCTAATACTGTATCCTTTAAGACCACTAAAGTGCTAAGAATTCCTCAAAGTCAATCACTCTTAACTTTGAGAAAACTCTAAGACTAACTTATAACACTTCTTGGGTCTTAGAGTTGCATTTAGCAGATAAAAAAATTTGGGGTTCTTATAAATCAAGCTGAACGTCAGCAAATTTGAGTGCGAACTGTTTGTGCATGAAACACCATTTTGAGTACATTTAGAGCCTCGGAACTGATTAAAAAATATAGACAAGATTGAGATGAATATTGTTTGTGTTAAATCTGGTGAGAGACCCTGGAAAATCTTACTGTACTGTGGAGAAAAATGCTCTGACTGCAGAGATGAAAGTGATAATAGCATTACAGTACTATGCTTGGCCACTTTTACCTTATTTTCAGGGTTTTGACTTAAAGATCAAAATATGGGACACTTTTTTCTCATAACTGCAAATTTAAAGAAGTAAAATTATCATGAATCTGGGTCTGCCAGCTTTTAATTTACCATGAGAAAAGTAATTTTAGTGTGAAGTGTGATGGTAATTTTTATTATAGTGTAGGGTTAACTTAAATGTAATTACTGTATAATACAGTATAGGTATTCGTTGCTTATTTATATAAGAATAAATTTGAGAATTATTTTAAACATTTGAAACTTCCATATTGATATATACCATTAACTTAAAGAGTGTACAGTATATGGTAATATGAAATATCTATGATGAAGTGATATATTAACGCATTAGGATCAAAATTTCTAGTGCAGTACATCAATGTTATTTTCCTTCACTCTTTTTGGCATAAACTTGAGCTAGTCTTTCCATCTACAGGTGATAGACACTATTAGAAAGAACCCTAATGACCGGCGCATTATTATGTGCGCTTGGAATCCTTTGGATTTACCGAAGATGGCTTTACCACCCTGTCACTGCCTCTGTCAGTTCTATGTTGCCAACGGAGAACTTTCCTGTCAGCTTTACCAGCGCTCTGCCGACATGGGTCTGGGGGTGCCTTTCAACATTGCCAGTTATGCACTCCTCACCTATATGGTAGCTCATGTTACAAATCTGAAGGTAAGAAACTTTTTGTGAAAATATTTTCCTAAATTTTCTATCTATATCTTATCAACTTATTTGTCCCATATATACTGTATACCATAACTGTTTTACTTTTATTTGACATGCTGTAGTTTACTAGCACTTTTATCTTTGTCTTTTTACACCCAAAATTTCACTTCTTATTTTGTGTTTATGTGGAATCTAAGGGGCTATAAATACTTAAAACAAATTAAACAAGTACCTGATCACCGATGAACCCCTAAACTCACAAGTTTTCAAGGAGTATAATATTATATCCTCGACAGTTGAATTAAACTGACTGACGACGAACATATATATGGTGTAATACATTATTTATATTATTATACTCCCTGATAAATCACTCCAAAGTGGTTGTTGATGGCAGCCGGTGGTCAAGTAGAGTGTGGCCTGTATCAAGAGTCTGAGCGATGATATTGTCGGTCCAGAGACTCGCCAGACTGACTTGACAGTGTTACTACGTATGAATTCTCCTTAATTACAAATGTCATGATTTCACGTGATCAATACAAAATTCCATATCCCACACACACTATACTGTACATTAACAACAGACGTGCAACAACAATATTAAACAAAGTTAAATATATACAACCATATCAAGTTATAATCAAGGTTGCACAACTGGCATTAACTTTTTGCCCATTAATTTAGAAATAACCTTAATAATTAATGTAAATTAATTATGTTAATGATTGTAAATTTTAATACAACTCTTAATATTATGCTTCGTCACAGTGGTTGACACCACTTATAGAAACGTATGATAATTATCGTAAGTGAATGTTCTAAATAGTTTCACTTTATTTACGTTGTTTTTCATTGATCTTTCCTCCGATTGTTTCATCTCGCAGAAAAGGTAATACAGTGGTCCCTCGATTAACGAACGGTCCAATTAACGAAATTTCGGTTGATGAATTAGCTCTCATTAGGATTTTCAATTCCATTAACGAACAAAACTTTGATTAACGAAAGCCTTACGTGAAACACGTATTTGTTGTGCGCATCAGCTGATCGGCTAGTCCGCCAATACAGTAATTGGTTCTATGTTTACATTCGTTTCCAGTGGAGTAAATATCAAGAAAGTTGTGCTCATGAATATTTAAAAAAAATTTATATTGAAATTATTGGTCATTCTAATTTAGTTAACATATTGATAATATATACAGTACAGGGAACAGTTTTTGTGTGCCAGTCAGCTGATCGAATCACCTACCAACGCTTCTCAGTTTAACTTTGTTTACAGTGGAGTGAACATCCAATTTGTTGGTCTCTTGAATATTTTTGCATTTTTACATTAAAATTATTGGTCATTCTGAAATTTAGTGCAGAAATTATTATGAAACATGAAGAAGGCATTAGAACCAATGCACTCGGTAAAGAATATAGCATGTCATCATTGACTGACTCTACAATCGGCTCTTTGATATGTAAACAAAGTTGCCGGGAATACAACATACACACCTCAGAGTAAGTTCAAATACATGTATTGTATTTTATTGTTTTTTATTTATTATTATACAGTATACTGTACAGTACAGTACTGTATTTAGTTTATATTTAATGTTTTGTTAATTCTATTATCGGTATACTGTACAGAACTTTGTATGTACTTTTTCTGTGAGTTGGAACCAGTTACCCAATATCCCATTGAAATAATAGATTCATTTAACAAAATTTTCGGTTAACGAACGACTCTGTGGAACCAGTTGTGTTCGTTAATCGAGGGATCACTGTATTTCCTTACAAATCTTACCTGTGATATCTCACTCCCCAGGCCATGACAGGATTGCCTCCAGGCTGCCCTATCTTTACATTCCATAGTATCTTTCCCCTCTCTATTGCCCTTACCTTCTTCTCTATATCTCTTCCTTAATCTAATTCTCCATTTTCCCATCCCATAATATAGATGGTCTTCCTCTACTCATATGCATCTGCTACAGTGCCCCTACACACCCTCCTTACTATCCCCTCGGTGAACCTCTCTTCACCCATTCCACCTCTCCATAGTTTGGACTCTTTTCCTCCTCTGCCGCTTCAGAAGCATCCTACAGTTGAGTTATTCCCACTTAGGGGAAAAAAGAGAGGGTATTTTGGGGTAAAAAAACACATGTCCCCACATTAGGTGAATTTTTTGTTCTTTTATGGATATGAAGGTAAAAACAAAATCCAGTTACATATTCACAAAATAATAAATGCCACTTTTCTATAAAGAGATATGAACTTACTGAAAAATTGGTGTCTAAAATGTTTTAGCGACTTTCGTTGGTGTGTTTTTTGTTACCCCAGGATGTGTTCTTGCTCCCCAAAGCCTGACTGCTGTTACCCCACTGCTATATGTTACCCCACTCTTTTTTTATTCACTCCCATACTATGATTTTGCTTTCCGCACTTGCTTTCTTTTTTTTTTTTTCCAATGTCCTCTAGAAAGGAATTTTGAACCAATGTTAGCCACTTATGTATCTCATGGAACAGTCTTCTTGAACTTGCTACATCTCTTAATATAATTTTCTACCAGGTTTATGTTTATGTTTATCTTTAATTTAAATTGACAGATATACATTTCAAAAGTTATGTGAAAATAATAATATATTAATACAAATACTGTGTGTGTGCATAAGCATGCACTGACAATTTAAAATTGTTTAATTCACGGACCTCGATTATTTGCGGATGACACCCTGGATGTACTCAAGAATGTCTAAAGGTAGTTTTAAAGTTGTTGGCATTTTTGTGGCTGGGACAGGGAACCATTCATTCTAAAAACAGTAGTTTCTTTTACCTGTATTGTATATGTGTGTGTGTGTGTGTGGACAGACACACACAAAACACATACAGTAGGCTCTCGCCAATAACGACTTCCACAATATCGTTTTCGACAATAACGGTAAGTTACAATAGATACCCATTTTCAATAATAACGTCTGGATTCTCTTGAATAACGGAAATTTCCTGGGAAGCGTTCGAGCGCATCAATGATAGCATTTGTTTGCCGCCATGTTGATGACGTACAGTAGTTGTCCATTCCGCCTCACTGTCACACACGCTCAGTGGAATACAGCACTGCGCCCACGTGTGAGATTTTAGCCTGTGGGGGCTAGGGGAGGTGGTGGAGGGAGTGATTTGCCACCTGAATAACTGGGAACTTTTAAAGTGAGGAAATTGAACTGTCCTGAGTCTACAGTGCGAAATATTAAGAGGAACTTAGAGGAGACCAAGAAGAGTATTGTGCTGGCTAAAAATATTTCAGTAGTGATGGAAATGCAAGGCGAGCTATGAATGATAAAGGCGATAGAAACAGGTTGTTAGTGATAATAGAGCATTTTCTTGTGAAATGGTTAGCTTGTAGAATGAAAGACAGTGCAAGTGTTAGCGGCCCTCAGATACGGAACAATCATCACACCAAGCACCTCAAAAACTAATTGTTATATTATTTTGATGATTGAATAGGAAATCTTTTTATTTCAGCTAACAAAAGTGTTAGGAGGGCTTCAAGGGGAAAAAATGGGTGAAATTCTTGTGGCAGCGGCACCAATAAACCCTTTTTACATGTATTTTAATGTCACACAAATAACGTTTTCGCTAATAACGGTGTTTTTCAGGCACCTATTAAACGTTATTGGTGAGAGCCCACTGTACAAATAAATAATAATGGGAAAATCCTCTCACAAATAATTAAAACAGAAACGGAGTTGACTTGAGGATAGACTCAAACATTTTTAATACATTTGTTTCTGATTTTGTGAGAGGATTTTTCCATTATTATTTATTTGTGTGTGTGTGTGTGTGTGTGTACACATATTGCCCATGAATTTTAAGGGCATGCTGTATATATGTGTGTGTGTTTGTGTGTGTATGCATGCATGTGTGTTTGTAAAATCAGGTTATTGAGCTACAGTAAATCCTCGTTTAACTTCGTGGTTACGTTCTTGAAAAACACATCGTTAACGGAATCAATTTTGCCCATAAGAAATAGATAAAATACGCTACTTACGTTCCCCAGCCTCCCTTTGCCTCATAAAATACATTACATATACAGTACATAAATTCAATGGAGTTTTTATAGAAAATATATATTATACATCCAAAAAGATAAATAAACTAAAGCATTTTGTATTGTATTCACTGATGGGCAGAGGTGGAGCGAGTGTGTGTTGGGTAGTGGAGAGGAGGAGGGTGGCGAGTCACAGACCCGGAGGTTTAAAACCTTTATTTTCGTAACAAGGCTAATAGTCTTGCGTTGCTTCTTCACAACACTAGCATCACCAACACTTGATGGGCGCTTGGAAGCCATTTCGAATGATTGCAGTACAGTATTTATAGCAAAAACTCTTAAGCACACACGTACGCTGTGGAAGCCGAACAAAGAAGGGACGCTGTGACGCTCCGCGAGAGAGCGTAGTGCGCCAAGATGAGAGAGGGTGATGCGCCAACAAAGTACAGTCGTCTGTGACGATGTTATAATGAATTGGTCGGGACATTGTTAGAATCACGGGGATCTAAAAAGTAGCGACGTTATAGCGAAACAATGTTGTCGGGGGCAACGGTAAACGAGGACTTACTGTATTTGTTCAATCACACAATAAATATTTATTAACTCTACGTCTGGCAAATGTCATGATTTGCCAGAAGCTTCTGGAACATCAATCAACCCATTTAAATCACTGTAAGCCTTAGGGAACTGTCAACTTCTAAATAAACTGTAAATGTGCATTTCTTTATTTAAAGTATGCATACTACAATATTTTCCATATATTTTCATTTAAGAAGTAAAATTAACATTCAACTGAGTTTTTGTGTATGGAAACGAATCTTGATGTTGTCTCCTGGTGGGCCTGGGGTACCGTTGATTACCTAAGACTCAGGAAACTTGCGAATTCTCAAACCAATTTGGTCGTGATCTCAAGGTGTAGATTTGAGGGTCTATAGCACCTGTATAGTTCTGCACAATTTAGCCAGACTCAGACTGTTCTCCAGCAGTTACAGGCTGTGTTCATATTTAGTTGTTTGAGTGTTATAATTATTTTATTTTGCTTATTCATTTTATTTATTTTTATTTTATTTATTCATTTTTTAATGCTTCTGTAGCCAGGTGAATTTGTGCACACACTTGGAGATGCCCATGTTTACTCCAACCACATCTCTGGATTAAACGTTCAGTTGAAGAGAGAACCGAAACCATTTCCAAAGTTGAACTTCAAGAGGAAGGTGGAGTCCATCAATGACTTCAAGTATGAGGATCTTGAATTAATTGGCTACAATCCTCATGCAAAGATTCAGTTGGACATGGCTGTATAAGAAGTAAATGATATATCAGTGAGTAGTTTTATGGATGTATTATAAAGACATTTGAGTTTTGGAATTTCACCCATATAGAATTTGTAAAATATGACCATTAAATTCAGTATGACAAGAAAGTTCAGTCTTAGGGAAATTGGATAAATTTTCAATGCAAGAAATGTTATCTGGAATAAGAAAATATTGCAAAACTAAAAATTTTTCTTAAGATTTGTCCTTGTGCATATTTTGTACTGCGAGTGCCAGTGTCTTTTCTTGTTATTACCTATGTGGTTGAATCAGCTTGTTTCAACATGTGATTAACTAGCTATTAGGTCTACCCTTGTTGAAGATACAGTAATTATAGAGAGTCCATCAATACCCAGTGGTAGTAATGGTACTGAGCCTATGAAGGAATTACATTGATATGTTTTGGGGATATGATTTGAGTGAAAAATTTAGCCAGATTAAAAATAAAAAACATTAGGGTTTGCTGTAAAAAGAAAAAATTAAGTGCTCAAGCAGCTACTGTACATCATTTTAAGTGCCTGTATGTTGTACAGTACAGGTATTCTCAAAGAAGTGATGTGATGCTTAATATGCAACACCTTCTGATGTGTATGTGCTGAACTGTATACTGTACCAGCATATTCAATGAACATGCTGCAATGGTAAACTTGCATAACACTTTTACTGAATAAATATCTTTATACCATATCTGTGTAATTATTGTACACAAAAGTCATGAATTCTACTTACCAGACACAGTATTGAGCTTCAGATGGTGGAATGGATTTGGCTAAATTTTTCATCTTCATAGAACTACTGTACTGTGACTTTTTAGTTTTGCATCCAAGGTAATGGCATTACGGGCTTACTTAGCACCACTACTGCCAATTATGGCAAACTTCGTGGCCTCTTACCAGTTATCTTTAACAAGTAAGAAAACCATGAGAATTTATTGTAATGAAAACAAGATGACAACCATTCGTTCACAAACAATAAGGATGAGTACTGGTTTGAATTGTACTGGCAAATACAGTGTCAAATGCATGCCAAGGCAAGTCATATGAAAAAAAATATACATTAAGTACAGGTACAGTATACTGTATATAATTTGGCTCTACTGTATTTTTATTTCTGGATCTGTTTTTTTTTTAAATTTACATAAGGTTGATTTTTTTTGCCTTATCCTGGATAAAATGGTCATGATTTACAAGGTCTCAACTGGCAAAATATCATAACCTGAATGTCCATAACAGTATAAATGACTAACTAAGAATGGAACATCAAATCTAATCATGGCAAGAGTTCGAGTAATTTTGTTGTGTCTTATACCACCAACTTTGTTGTTAATTCATGGAGTGTATTTCTGAATTGTTATTGCCATATATATTGTTCGTGATGCCACTAATGTATTGCACATTTTCATCAGGTAGTTCCTGTTTACAAATTGTTGCTCTGTTGTGCTGATACTTAAGCCAGCAACCCTTGGTATATGGGAAGGATGACTTAACCACATGAAGATTAATAAACTGGGGTGGGTATAAAATGTTGATGATAATGATGCTTTCTTAGAATACATCCCCTCTGTGTTTTTCAGTATGTGTTTTTGCTAAACTTAATTGGTTTATACAACCCTTACTTGATCTGAATTGTTTGTAATGTAAAATTGTGTGTGTGTGTGTGTTTTGTTTTGTTTTATTTTTCAAAATCATGCAATTAATGGTATAATTATCACCCATTTTTCATAAACTTTGAAAAGTAAGGAAACCAAAATTGCATAGTGAGATAGTCTACTAATATTGGAGGTTGGTTGAGTTCAAGTGGTGAATAGATTTTATTTTGAGAATTGTATTAATTGGACAGTCTTTTTCCTTCATCACATCACCACTAATACTGTGTGGTCAGCAGAATGGTTCATAGATTTCTTCACTTATTGCTGTCAACTCCCTCATATCTTTGTGGAGCTACATTTCTCTATCTTCTTTTAGTCTGCCTTAACTTTTCTAACTGTCTACTGGCATTCCCATCACATTGTGGACGAGAACCTTAGTTGGTGCGATTTAAATTGCCTCGGTGTAGGTGATTCAGTATTTCCTGCATTTATCACATTCCAGGAAATAGATAATATTTTTTAATACCATTTTACTTTGTATTAAACCTAGGTTAAGTTTACTTCCTGGTATAACCTTGCACTTACACATGTTTTGAATGCATTTACTGGGATCCTTTATTAGTTCAAAATTAGTTGGTTTGGAACCCATTCATGTTTCCTCTTATTAAAATATACTAAGTTTGTAACTCCTGCCTGGTATTACTCGCCTTCTTATTAGTGGTGCTATGAGGCGCTCTAGGTGAGAAGTAAACGAACGACTAAAGTAAGATGCACCAGATAATACAGTTAGATTTTGACAATTAATAGTACAGTCAACATACCTTAGCAATTTTGTTGCTCATCTTATTCGTGGCCAGAGCGTCTCTTAGGTTTGAATATTTAATTGGGTGGTTAAGTTTTTATTTTATTTTTATTTTTTTTTTTTTTTAGTTGAGTGATTAGGTTTTTATTTTATTTTATTTTATTTATTTACTTATTTTTCTCTGCAACTCCATCCTACATGATAATCATTTGTTGCATTTCAGTCTATTGTTATACTTACCATAATCATCTTCATAATTTTTTAATTGAAAATGTCATCTACCTTTAAACCTTTCTGCCTCGGGAAACAATAATCTTCCGTGCGCCCGAAAAACTAAAAAAAAAGAAAGAAAAAGTACTGTGGGGTCCAGCAGCAGGTGTGCACCAAGTATTTTTAGCTCTATTAGGGTGTGTTTGATACTTTGAGCATAATGAGTGTTATATGAAGAATATGATGAATGCGGGGAGGTAGTTTGTAAGCCAGAATAAAGCTAATAAAGGCATTGCTCTACACACGTTCATCCCCCGCCACCCCTGAATGAGTCAAACCCGAGCGTCCACCCCCTTGTTATGTTGGTGGGTTGGGCTTATTGTTATGTACTGTTTAGTTCCTACTTATGTGTTGTGCCAATATGTGATTGTGACAACAGTTGATGCTTGTTTTGTATGTACAATATATAATGACTAGTTATGTCTGATCTAGGTTCCAGCCTTTTCTTCCTCGGGTTCTTTCTAGAGTAAATAAAGGAGAGAAAATTACAAGTGTGTGTCCTATCCCTGCTATGGGAGCCCACTGCTCTGTTCTTGCTTCACTTGGTGGAGATGCAGGGTATGCAAATTGTTTGCATGAGTAAGTTGGGATTCACCCCTATAGAGCAAAGAACAAGCAGCACCCAGGCAATAATTATTATAGCAGAAATCACCCGGGGTTTTACCAGAGAGCCAGATTGGGGGTGTGGTAGATAATTTGGGGGATTAGTGTGTCTCCTTGTTTATGAGCTTGGTCTTATATGTGGATTCTGTGTATCTGGTTTTGGGGACTTGGGATATGCTTATCTGTTTTCTCGATATGTGAGAGCCCAAATAGGTGTGAATCTGGCATCAAGGAATTTCTTGATGGTAAAAAAAAAAAGATGCCGGGAGTTTTGGAGAGTTGCATTGGTTGCTGGCTGTGTATAAAGCAACATCTTGGTGATAGATAGGGATGTGTGAGTGCTGTACCAGCTGGAGGAGGATTGATGTAGTTTTGGATAGTGTGAAAGTAAAATAGTTGATGACATAAGACATCACTTCTTTACTTATTCCTCTGAATTAAATCAATCTCTTGATCTTTTGTTACTTCTGACACACTCACTGATTCTCCTGTCTGGTATACTCTTGAAATTTTAGACTTTCCTTTATACTTAATATTTAAATTAAACTATACTGTCCAGTGGCATTACCATTGCACTGTGGACTAATGACGTGTGTGTGTGTGATCTGTAATTGACTCGGTGTAAGTGGTGTAATATTTCCTGCATTTATCATGTTCCCCTTGGATAAGGGTGTATGATAAGTGATGTGTCAGAGATTAGTTGTATGGATGTGTTATAAGGAATGAAGGTACTGTTATCCCTGCACTATAGATGTTTGAGTTTTGAAAAATTTTTCATATGGACTTTGTAACATATGACCTCTAGATTCAGGATATGGGATGAAAATTCAATCTTATGGAAATGCAGTAAATTTTCAACACATATAAACAGAAAAAAATTGCTAAGGTTATAAATTTGTCATATAACTACCCTTGTGCATATTTTGAACTGCATTTTCCTGTCTTTTCATATCAGTACCCATGTGCTTGCCTCTGCTTGTTTCAATATGGATAATTTAGGGTTTTATACATTTTGATCCTTACCTAGTATAATTTATAAATTATTGGGGTGAGGGGGAAGGAAAATAAGATGAAATAATTTAATATCCCCACATCTGGGAACATGGTCTGGACTTATCCATGTCAAAATACTTGTCATGTTTCAATTTAATGTGGCAGTAGAGGACACTGGTACAACACCCTCATGGAAGCATTCTAGGGATATATGGTCCTCAGTGCAAGCCATTTGCCTTCCTTAGAGGTTCTCCAGTGATCAGGTTTAGCCAACTTAAAACTGTGTCCTCTCGGAGTATTTGTACTGTAATTGAAAATTTATGAGAAGTGAATGTGTTGGTATCCATGAAGGAGTTTGTAAATCTCAATCATATCTCCTCACCCTCCTCACTTGTAATGTGTGTAGTTCCAAGGATTTGTATGTCTTCATAGAATATAAGGACTAATTTTGTTGCTCACTACTGCATTTTCCCAAAAATTTGATATATATGACTAGTTAAGGTGACCAGCATTGAACTGCATAGTCTTATATTTGTTGAAATTAGATGGCAACAGCCTTTTCCATCTACATTCTTCTAGACCCTTCAAGTCTCTTTGTAAGTCCTTTACGTCTGCCAGAGTCTTAATGATTCTATAGACATTGGCATTGTCAGCAAATATTTTAGAATTTTTGTCTCATTTTGTACTTTGTATTGTATTTTACCTTTAAAATACATTAAAGAATGACTAACATTCAGTAATGAAGTAAGTGTATCTACTGTACATGTATTAGATACATTAGACTTATCACAATTTATCATAACATATTTTTCAGATTATGTTCTTTTGAGTACTTAGGTTTATCCCTCAGCCACCAGGGCCAGTTTTATCCCTTGGCCACCAGGGTCAGATGAGTACTGTCATGGCTGATGGTTTATATATCTTGACTATCCTACTACATTTTGGTCTTTTTATTACCTTCAAATGAAGATAAATTATCCTAAGGTACGGTGCATTGTGAATTACCACGATCCATAGATGTTGTCTTCAAGTGTGAGATCATCAGGAGACCCCATTGACAGCCAAGTTGTCAGGTCATCTGCTGGCTTTGTGGACTTACTTTACCTTTAACAGTTTCAGGTTTGACTAGGTGATGAGTTAGTTTTATCAGGTTAAATTGGATTGAATTAGATATAGCTTTTATGGATACTGTATGTAAGAAAGTGATATTTCAGGCAGTTTTTAATGAGATTATCCCTTTATGAAGTGGTTATAGGAAGTTTATTGTGGGTTGGGTTGGTTAAGTTACATTTGGTAAGGCTGATGAGGACATAAAACTATTCATTCTTTGATGTGATTACTTGGCTTGATCTTAGTGTACTGCATTTTGAAGTGCTTTTAATGAGTTGGTCACCATAAGTGTGGGCTCTGTAAAAGATAGAGTACATTCCCACAAGTGCCAAGCAAGTTGTAGATGCTCAAAATGACACCAAAGTGATTCACAGGTGCTCAAAATGACACCCAACTGTATCACAGGTGCTCAAAATGATACAGGAAGGTAAATATATGCTCTCTCTTTCTCTCTCTTTTTTAGTTTGAGTCATATCCACAGACAAAGTGGGGAAAAGGGGTAAAACTGAAGTGCAGACAATCTGACTTGTACACCTCGTCCTAAGTTTTCTGCAGTGTAACAACTCCCATAACTTTATACTTATTTGACTTCAATGGATTAAATTTAAGCATCAAGTTAGTGTTTACAGTCTGTGCCAGTAGTCTTGCATCTCTACTGGATGCTCATGGTGTTGCCTACTATTTCTATGCCGACGATTAAGGTATGGATGGCTAGGAAAAAACTTAAGCAGAATGACGGCAAAATGGAGATTATCATCATTCAAGGAAATAGGAGGGGAGACATCACAGGTGATTTTGGCTCTTTAAACATTAAATCTTTCTTTTTTTTGAAAGCTTATGATCCTGAACAGGGTATGATGGATAATTACAGGGTTTTGGAAGTATTAAAACTTAAGGGTATATGAATAATAGAAGTCGAACTCTCACTTTTTGTGATCTTTTATTGTAGTACAGTTGTTCATTACATTTTGTGTGATTTCATAATCATTTCTTATTTTATACATGAAGCTATACTTGCAAGAGAAAAAGTATAAAAATATATTAATTATCTGGTTAGGTTAGGTTGACTGAGGTTTTATGTTTGGATGGGTTAGATTAGGGATGGTAGGAGTTTAGTCATATGGTATTAGTATTTGGGTAAATCGTTGTATATTTAGAATGGTGAGAACTGGGTGAGACTAGAAATATTCAGCAAGACACTTGAAGAATTTCTTTGGAAGAGATTTACTTACAGTTACTACCAAATAGTAAATATAATCATGGAGGTTGGATGCACGGAACTGTCATGGAATGAAAGCAGCAAAAAAATAGAGAAAAAAGGAAAGATTGAAAAGACGGGTAGAATTCTTTTTAGAGCAGTAATAAATGTCTGAACACTTATGAATGTCTCTGAACAGTATTAAATGCCTCTTGAACAGTAATCAATGCCCCTGAACAGTAATAAATGCCTGAACAATAATCAATGCCTCTGAACAGTAATTAATGCCTCTGAAGACCAGCAATAAATGTCCCTGAACAGTAATGAATGTTCCTGTACAAAAATGAGTGTCCCTATACAGTAATGAATGCTCCTGTACAGTAATGAATGCCCCTGTACAGTAATGAATGCTCCTGTACAGTATTTAATGCCTCTGTACAGTAATGAATGCCCCTGAACAGTAATGAATGCTCCTGAACAGTAATGAATGCTCCTGAGCAGTAGTGAATGCCTCTCAACAGCATTGACTGCTTCTAAACAGTAAGGAATGCCCCTGTACAGTAATGAATGCCCCTGAACAGTTAGGAATACCCTTGTACTGTAATGAATGCTCCTGTACAATAGTCAATGCCCCTGAACAGTCATCAATGCCCCTGAACAGTAATCAATGCCTCTGAACAGTAATAAATGTCCCTGAACAGTAATGAATGTTCCTGTACAGTAATGAATGCTCCTGTACAGTAATGAATGCTCCTGTACAGTAATAAATGTCCCTGTACAGTAATGAATGCCCCTGAACAGTAGTGAATGCCTCTCAACAGCATTGAATGCTTCTAGACAGTAAGGAATGCCCCTGTACAGTAAGGAATGCCCCTGTACAGTAATGAATGCCCCTGAACTGTTAGGAATACCCTTGTACTGTAATGAATGCTCCTGTACAATAGTCAATGCCCCTGAACAGTAATCAATGCCCCTGAACAGTAATCAATGCCTCTGAACAGTAATAAATGTCCCTGAACAGTAATGAATGTTCCTGTACAATAATGAGTGTCCCTATACAGTAATGAATGCTCCTGTACAGTAATGAATGCTCCTGTACAGTAATCAATGCCCCTGTACAATAATAAATGCTCCTGAACAGTATTAAATGTCCCTGAACTGTAACCAATGCCCCTGAACAGTAATCAATGCCTCTGAACAGTAATCAATGCCTCTGAACAGTAATAAATGTCCCAGAACAGTAATGAATGTTACTGTACAATAATGAGTGTCCCTATACAGTAATGAATGCTCCTGTACAGTAATGAATGCCCCTGTACAGTAATGAATGCCCCTGTACAGTAATGAATGCCCCTGTACAGTAATTTATGCCCCTGAACAGTGATGAATGCTCCTGAACAGTAATGAATGCCTCTGAACAGTAATGAATGCTCCTGAATGGTAATGAATGCCCCTGTACAGTAATGAATGCTCCTGTACAGTAATGAATGTTCCTGTACATTAATGAATGCCCTTGTACAGTAATGAATGCCCCTGTACAGTAATGAATGCCTCTGAACAGTAACGAATGTCCCTGAACAGTAG